GCCTGACCCCAGGCCAGTAATGACATCATGAATACCACCAGTGCTGTGAGTCAGGCAGTGTAACACACACACTCTGACACTTCTTCCCACACACAGCAGGAGGCATCTCAGAGTGCAGGTGGCCGCTGTGTTCCCCCAGCACAAGCTGTCAGATCAGCTACACATTACACCATTCTTTTATGTGTGTTTGTGTGAGTGTGCAAGCAGTGGAGCACAAGTGAGCGAGGAAGTAAGTGTGTGTTTATGCAATGAAGACACCGAGCGTGGACCTGAGTAGGATGAGACTTTGCAAAAATGATTTTTTAAATATTTTTAATTAAAATTCATGCCAATCCAATCTTTCAAGGCTGTTAACTCGCAGCAGCCTTGCAAGTTACCAGTTCGCATTTAACAAATGGATCACTCAACAACGCCATCAGATGTCACATATCTCTCACTAGACGATCACTGTGCCAAGAAGTGACTTTATAGACTCCCGAGAGTAGAATGGGTTTTCCTTAACAAGCGTGCTCTGTGGTCCAGGCTAACATTTCTGCTTCTAATGCACTGTGGTAAAGTTAATCAAGGAGCTATTTATCTGGAGTGTGTGGTAGCAGTAGTGTGTGTTTCTGTGTGTGTCACTGAACTATGAAGTATGTGATTTATGACAGGCAAACACTTCATTCACTTGTGTGTGTGTTCACGTGCGTGTGTGTGTGTGCGGAGGTGCCCAAGCACTCCCGCTAACTCAAACAAACAGGCAGAGGTAGTGCATATATGCATCTACTGGAGCCAAGGTGAAATTCCTGTGCAGACAAAACTTAAGCTTCATAAATGGCAGAGGACTAATCATCATTCATTACAAGATTCGGCAGACATAAGACCCCAAAGGTCTGGTCTATTATACTGTTTTTGTTAGCAAAGAACAAACACTTCACAGAGATTAAGACCCAAATCTACTTCCTGCATTTAACCCTTTATGTGCACGTGTCCTGCAAACATCTGGTTTCCGAGTGAAACTCCAACACAAGACCTCCTTTATAACTGACAGCAAAAGCCATGTGTCTGCACAGAACAAAAACACTCTTGAATACACTCTGACTACATCTACAGACCACTGATTATGACAGCCACAATTATAGAGGTCAGTTATTTCATATCAAAGCTGCAGAATTTACAGAAGTCCTTGAAGCAACAGTGGGATATTTGCAAGATGTGAAATGAAATCAAGCTATTTTAAAAAATTACAAAGTCAGGCTGCAATTAAAAATTCTATTCAGTCGCATTTATGTAGCGTGACTTCACAAGAAAAGTAATCTGAGGAAGAACAGGAAGAAACCTCCAGCAGAACCAGAAAAGTGACTATTTTTCCTGTTAAATGCAGGTATCAATATTTATACACAGCGATGACAAAAACCTGGCAAAACTGCAAAGCTGGTTTTAAAATAACAACTAAATAATAACTTTCAAATTACCAGCTGCAAAGGTACTGCAATACCTGAAAAACAGCGTGTCCAGGTATTAGTAGTTGTGACTGGGCCGCTAATTCAAATGTAAAAAAGAATGGAAGCAGTGAGGTGCCATGTAGGTAGACGTGTGCATGTGTGGTTGTGTAAGCATGTGGTCGTAGGTGGTATTCGACAGAGTGGAAGCCTGATGGGTGGAGACGGAGAGCGCCTTTGGAATCTGTAAAAGTAAAGGAAATAAACAGTGAAAAGAGAAATGGCAGCAAAGACCTGAACTCCTGGTGCCCTGGCATTTCTCTTTATGATGGATGAGCTCAGGGATCCTAGAATAAGGAAACGTGGGGGTTTGGGCTCCTTAATATCCAACAATACATCGTTGTAAAAGCAAAATTATGTCTTTCACATGCTAGCCTTCCGGGAAAAGCCCTCTGATTGCAACAGATTTGCCATTTAAAAAAAAAAAAAAATGAGGCCAAGGGACTGGTAAGAACAGCCTGAACCTTGGAGATGTCAAAAAGGGGCTTAGGCTTTACGAAGGGAGGAATACGAGAATCAAATCAAGGTTCCAAAAACAAAATATTGAAATTTCTCTTCACTCCGTCTGTACATGTGTTCCCATATCCACGTTGTTATTCACGGTATTAAATGTATTGAACAAACAAAGCCAGTGAAATGTATCTCACTACACATTGTTTACATCAGCTCTGGGGTCAGCACAGTAATCTAAATATCACAGCCATGATTTAATAATTACTAATGAGTCAGTGCCAGGAGACACAACATTCCCGGGCTTTCCCTGACCGCCCACATTGTCTGCAAAAAAAAAAAAAGTGAGTTCCACGTATGTACAAGTAAATTTTTAAACTAAATGCTGCAGAAACCTACATAACATGTCTGAAGGCGTAACAAAGAGATGAACACAACTTTTAAAAAAGTACTTATTGGACAGTTTCTTGTTGATAATGATAGAAGAGAGAGAGCAGATTTAAGACATTGCAGCTCCATTCTCTGTTTTTACAAATTCAGCAAACCAGAATCTCCTGAAAACTCATAATTCTTCTAAACAGATGTTCGGATTTCTTGCTTCAAGTCCCTTGTACAACAAAGTCGTTACTTTGTGGTGCCAGAAAGCAAATTTAAAAAAAATAAAAAATAAAAAATCTGGCATCACAACACAGTTCTGTAAATATATAATCAATTAGGCTGTTTTACATTGTTAAGAAAAACAATAACATTTGGCGTCAATGCAATGACCTCACTACAATTTTTTTGCTTTGATCCAGCCCAGTCACCTCCTCGCTGCGCTGGACGTGACGTGGCCTTCCTATGTCGATTAGAAGCTACAGCTAGTTGTGTCATACGTCGATGAGTCGCTGCTCGGTATTCACAGCGTAACACCTGGACTTTGGTGTGAGATCTCTGTCACGGTGCAATCATGCAACGGAGCGTCTGCGCTTCCTCTGAGCAACCAGACTGCCAAGTTTCTGTTGGAGCGCCTTCAAAAAGCTCATCATTGAGTCATAACTTTGAAGACAAAAGAGACAACAACGGTTAGGATGATGACAAAAGCAAACTGAAGAAGTCTCTGAAGAGTTGATGAAAGGACAGCCACCAGAAACTGTTTAACGGATGCAGAGAAATGGATTGCTCAATTTCAGTTGCCTATCCAGTCTTGCACTTTTCATAATTGACGGATATAATACAAGCTGAAATTGATCAAAACACAATCCCATGTCCTGTGTTTGCCATCATCAAACAATGTTTTTCATATAAAAGAATCAGACAATGCTTGCAGTAAATCTAGTCTAAATGCTGACTGTCTAAGGGCCTTGATACAGCGGAAGCTGGAGAACACACAACAAAGGCCCAGAAGAATATCCACCAAAGCCTCAGTTTGGGCTTCTAGTGCCAGTCAAAGCAATATCTGGAAACACTTTTTATCCTGCAACAACAAAAACATGCAGCATCCCAGATTTCAGGCCCAGCATAGCTGCATCAAACCACACTGCCCGCTATGGTCAGGCCTTAGAAAAGAGGCTTAAACAGAAATCCAGCTCGGGCTAAACGCATCAGCCCTGAGGCTACATAGCATGAGAGCAAAACTAACAGAGTGGGTCCAACCTTGGTTAGACAGCAGGTCTTGTGAGGTCATACCCAAATACCGCAGATAACACTCGCTCTTCACCCTGATTGTCTCCTAGCATGAAAGCAGTTTTGTGGTTGTAGGTGGAAGAAGGAGGGGGTTTCTCAGAAGAGAAATGTTCAGAAATGTTCTGTTTCAGTCTTGGGTAAATGTTATGATAATTTCATTTGCGTGAGTAATTGTGTCTGGTCTTACAGACTGTTCTGGCGCTGGAGCGGAGAGTGAGAGAGGACGAGAGGATGAGGCGGCACGCCTGTTGTTTATTGGATCAGCTTGAAGGAAGTCCTGAAAAATAGAATTTGTCCTTCACGCCCTGCATGTTAAGTTCAGCGAACAAGACTAAATACTCAAACTTACAGACTTGTACTACTTTCTGATGGAACACATAAGGAATGCTTGAGCGTTTTGGCATATTGGTGATTTTAATATACTCTCTTTAAAACATGGGGACATATATACAAACATTTCCAAATAAGGGCATGATCAATGCAAGTCACTGCTCATGAGAGTAAAACAAGATCATATAACCTACTAATTTTTAACCTAAACAGATTTTACAGAGTAGGAAAAAAAATTGTTGTTCTGACACAATTTCCAGCTCTTTATTGCTGTTGCATTCCAGAGCAAAGACAACATGCTGTAGGCGTGAGAATTGGAAAAGCAACAAGTTATCTCTCTTGTGAAACCCAGTGTGCCTGTTCATACATGTCTGTGTGCGATACTGTGCTTTGATTACATAGAGAAGCTATAGGCCTCCAGTCAGGCAGAAGAGCCGGTGGAGTGGGCTGGACTCTGGGGCTTTAGACAAGCCAACAGCAAGCAGGAAATCAGGAAATCAGCAGAGCAGAGGGACAATGACATGGAGATTAGAGATCAGTTAACCCCCTCCTCCGGGTGGCTGACCTGTTTGCACACTGTGGCTTCCTTTTTTTTTCTTTTTTCTTTTCTTTAGATAAACACACAATCCATGTAACACACACACTATCCCAAATCTGTTGCACACTCACTACCCTATTCAAACTCAACCTCTCTCACCCTTCCCCTCTCCCAAACACGTTCACACACCATTTAGCTCTCGAAATAAGTTGTGCACCGTAAGTTTATGTCTTTCCCAACAACACAGAGATTAAATCAGCCGCTCCTGCTTTGTGCCCACTCACCCGCAGGTGATGGGCGCAGCCAAACAACCAGTAGGACTTAGTGTAACATCTACAACTACAAGGCCAACTCACTCCGCAGACGGGATGATATCACCTGACGAATGACGAACATTGTGAAGTGGGACGACTTCAAATAAACCTGAGGAGGAAAAAAAGGATCTACCTGGAAGTGTTAGCACTCCTTTACTCTGACCTCACCTGGCTTATCAGTACGGCAGAAGACTTTCACGAGCAACACACCTGGAGAGTGTTCTGCAACACAAGTGGGAGTTTACACTGAAACGGATTACATGTCTACAGACTGAAGCAGCGGTATAGATAAAGGTAAGCGACAGCCTCTCAATAGTGTCTTTGCAGATAAAAAGCTACAATTTAATGTGAAATTTCCCATTTCTGTGTCGTGGAGGACGAGACAGTTTTAAGCTGTGCAATGAGGACCTCTCTGTAACAGTTGACAAGCCCCATCATGTCAAGGAAGAGTTTGTCAGGGTGCGTAGGTAGACACAGCCTAGTTTGCTGACAGAGACGGGTGTGCATGTGTGGGATTAACATATCCTGTATTTTCTCAGTAAGACAGGTAAGAACTAAATCATTAGCCTTTCTCTATTTTGGATTTACTTGTCCTACTAAACTAACTTGCATGAAAAGAGACTAAATTACAAATCACTTGCTTTTAACCCGCTTCATTAGACAGATCCCTTATCTGTCTCAAAGGTGTATCATTAATGGCCACATTTAGAAAGACAATTTAAAATGTGTTTCTTGGCTAATCTGTTTTAACGGGCTTCTTTAGTTTTTACTTGGCCACGAAGTGTTTCCTGAGACTCATGGCTGAAATCCTAAGACTCCTCCTTGGCCAAACTGACATGTTTGGAAAGGAATGCTGTTATGTCCACGCTCTCCAATCTCCCGCTGCTACTAAAGTGCCGATAAAACCTTTACAGGCCAACAAAACCTGTTTGCAGAAGTGGCTTACAAATTTACAGAGTGAGTGTTTCAAGTCACGAACACAGATCTAATGTGGGCAAAGCTGTTGGGAGGCTGTAAAATCACAGACACTGAGCAGATTATTCAATCGACGTGCCTGCATTGATGAGCTGAGGTCTGTTTTACTTAATGAAATGATTGCAGGTCACGAAAGGCAAAAGCGTTTATTTTTGATGAAGTTCGACTTTCATTGTTATTGTATCGTTTAATTTCGACCAAGAGGTTTCAAGTTTTGTTGGTGGGATTAAATTTCATTTTTATATCGTCTACCAAACTACTTTAATAAACTTATTTTGAAATGTAATGCCTAGAGTGTGATATTGTTTATGGAAGAGCGTTATAACCTCCACAAACAGAGCCACTACATATCTCTTGCAAAATAAACTGACTGCATTCCAGTTATTTGTATTTCTTCAAAAATCATAAACACGTGTTCAAAAGTGAAATTGTTATCACGATATCTGACAGAAGTTAAGAGGGAAAAAAAATTACGCTTTCCCGAAACAAAATCTAAAGAGATGCAACGCACTGCGTACAGGATAACGATTCCCGTTTGGGGATTAGCATTTTTGTTGCCTTTGTTACTGGAAGTCTTAAGTAGAATAATAGACTTCCTTGGGAGGATATGCAGCAGACCACACCTGCATTTGTGGGAAAAAACAGGGATTTGATAAGTAAATATTTACAAATGAAAGCTTCAAAGCATTGCTGGAACATCCCTCTGCTGCCAAATAATGCTGAATTTCATTAAACTGAAATCAAGCGGAGCAGGTGCAATCTCTGAACAACGGCTGCCGATTCTCGTCAAGCCGACAGATAGAGTCCAACACTTGCATCTGGTGTTAAATTACAAGGCGAATGCAAGCACAGACCTGCTCAGTATTCTGGCAGGACGAGAGGAAAACCTGGATAATGTGCTGCAGTGTTTTAAAACTTACAGTCGCAGCAAATTTGGTAGCAAACTACCATTTGTTAAATTATAAATCTCTCTTTTCTTGTGTTTTGTTGCAGATGGCATTATGCTTTTAGGCTTCACCACCTCCTAAGGACTGACTGCCAAACAAAGGAAGAGTGAGAAAACAACAGAAAGACTTTATGAAAAGAACACATAAAAACATTTAAGCAGATCTGCCAAGATGCCACTGAGAACGTCGTTGTACCGAAAGCAATCGTCTGGTCGCTGGTCCAGCAGGAACTCCAAGCGGAGGGAGGTGCTGTCTGTCAACATGATAAGCCTTCCGCTGGCCGACTTCCGCCACATCTCTCATATTGGAAACGACGCCCATACAGACAGCTTTGGAGATCTGTCCTTTCTAAAGATGGGCCACAGCCTGCTTCTACAGAGTTCCCAGAGCGAGCAGAACCTCTTCATGGCCTGCTCGCCGCCTCCGAAGCCCCCTCGTCTGAATCTGGATGAAAGCGAGGGTTCGGAGAGCCCCGACTGGTCTGTGGATCATCACAACACCTCCCAGAAGAGGAAAAAATGCAGTTCAATGCCACTGCTGGACAGTGATGACGGAGAGAAAGAGATGGAAAAAGAGGACGGGTGCCAAAGACGGATTAACGTTGCCCCCAATCAGACTCTCAGCTGTGGACGGGGCAGCGTGAGTTCAGACAGGGATGGAGAGTTTACAGAGACTTGTGACAAAACTGTCGGACAGCAGAAAGACGAGGAAAGTGGCTTTTCGTTCAGCCTCGACCTGGGCCCTTCAATCCTGGATGATGTTCTCCAGGTGATGGACAAACGACACAATTAGATGAGATAGTAGCCACAAGGTACATTGAGGCTTCACTTAAGGTTTTGAATATGGAGAAGAGATCCAACTGGACACTTCTGTTGGGGACAAACTCCTGATTTTATGGACAAACTATAATCTAAATGTGATGGTCAAAATTCAAATAAATCTAGGGATATTAATGATGCCAGTGTACTGCACAGTGACAAATACTACTTCACTCTTTTAAAGAGCACAAGACGTTGTGCATATTGAACACTGCGGTCCACAGCACATCAAAAAGTAAGCGTTGGTCCGTTAAAAGGTGAAAAAGGACAACCACACAGAGTTAATGTTCTCCACGTATTCACCCCTTGCAGAGGTAGAGACAATGTTTAAGTTAATGATTGAACTCTGTCTGATGTCAAACTCCAAGCTGGACATTTTTGCCGTCTTCTACATTTCTCTTTTGCTTTTGTAATCCTTCAAACCGCACAGAACAGCACTGACGACGGCTGTTAAGACTTAAGAGTGTTGTGTTTAAGAAAAGAAAAGCTACGGCTGGAATCCAAGGTCCTCGAGCTGTGATGTCTTGGCTCTTGGTGTGCTTGCCAATCTATTGTGTGCAGAGGGCAATTTTTGCTCCGCACGCATCCCAGAGGCCCCACTCAAAGGTAGACCAAGGTACCCCCCATCTCTCATTCCCAACAATGTAGTGAAAACAAACACTTAGCTCTGCTTCCAATAAAAGCCAGCCAGTGGTGGCAGGTTGGGCCGCAGACCAAGCAAGGCCACAGGTCCAAGACCTCAGAGGAAGGAGAAAAAAAATGGCAGAACAGGCTGTTTTCTTAGCTGCAAATCAGAGTCCGATGCTCTGGTGAGTGGCGCACGAGAAGGAAAAGTGGTAAAGGGTAACGTGATACTTCCACATATGTAGGGGGTGTCGAGGGAGGAGGACCAGAGACATCCATTACTGCAGCAAAAGTCCTGATGAGGGTTTAAACACTACCTTCTGACCAAACAGACGTCTGACACGTTAAAAAAAAAATACATGCTGCATCTCGCATACGGTGGCACACAAGAAAAGAGCAGCATTGATATTTCTGTGGACAATCCTGGCCTGTTGTTCTTAAATTTAGAGAGGAGAGTCGGGACACAGCCTCAGTACGTGCCTTAGTTGGGGGTTGCCACGATACGCTGTGGGACAAACCCAGAGCAAGTCAAATTCCTAAGAGCCCCACGGGTCATGCTGCAAAATATACGAACCACAAGTTTCCCGCTTCAGGCAATAGATTTAGAATTCCATGTATGTGCAAACAGAAACAGCGATGTTTGTGGGTACATCTGCACTGTATATCTGTTTTGGCATCAAAACTGGATATCACTGCCCCTGTTTCTGTTGTATATGTTATGACAATAACACATTATGAGGCCTTTTTTTTTTTTTTTTTGCATTGAAAAGTGTACCGTTTTGTACTTTGGGCAAGTAAAGAAAAATATCATTCGAATTCCAAGATTTGTGGTTTTGTGGATAGAAGTGTTCGTGTCAACATTTTACAAGAGCTTGTATAAGACTGTTTACACACCATGATGGACTGACATGTACTTGGCTCTTTAACTGTCAAAAGCCACTGTGGAGGCCGTAAGTCTTGTCTGTCGCTTGTATCTACCAGTTTCTAGATAAAATTACAGCTTTGGACAAGCCAACACAACAAGCAGCACAATATTATTTCAAGGTGGGGAAACACACAAGCCTAAATTAGACGGGCATGTCAGGAAGGATTTCATGTACAGGCACAAATACTGTACGACAGTAAAGTGGACTTTGAGTGATAAGGTCTGCACTGTTCTGAGGCACACCTGAATCCCACAGAAGTGACATGCAATAGTTAACCAGGGCGTGTTAGCAGTTTGTAGGATCAGGGAAGGAGCTTATCAGCCACACAGACTTTTCACTGGACTGTGACCCGTAACAATCAACGCATTTGATTATGAGAGAAGAATTGCGCAATCTTGGACAGACACTGTAAAAGCAAACTACTGAGGGCAAAAAGCTTCAAACTAGAAAAACATGAAACGAACAAGAAGAACATAAATTGTTGGTATATGAAGTGTCACTCAGCTCTGATTAAAAAATAACAAAAACTAAACTCTAATACATGTTATGAAGCTTCATCCTTCATTCTGTTCTCCAAATTAATTTGCTGCCTGCTTTTTGTGGAAAAAAGTACTCCACCAGACAAGGGTCCTTGGCTTCTGTGACTCCATCATCTGCACCAGAGCTTCACGTGAAGAATCACACGAGCTTAAACTCAACAAGTGTTCAGCCGCATGACTGATGTGAGAAGAAAGAGACTGTAATTGAAGACAAATTATCTTGTCCGCACTGTGAAAACTGGCCGAACTGTGAAGTATCCCCGTCACATCTGGTACCACTTCATTCCCTCCAAAAATCTAAACTTGCTGTCATACAGAATACCAAGAAGCCTTGTCATCTTACTGAAGAGTAGCTCTTATGAGTTATTTTTTGTCAGTTAGTAACTAAAACAGTAAAAATATTGTTTTGGCAAATAACAGACGTGTCCTTCTGCTGTAATTGTGCCTCCCGGTGCAATCTGATGCTACTGAAATATGCTGCAAGGTTTTAAAAAGATTGAAACACAAAAGGGGACTTTGGGAAACCGATATTGTTTACGCTGTCTGTATCGTGTATCTGTATCTCGTCAGAACATAATACGAAGCTCTAAATGTTCAGGGTCAAGCGAATCCACAACCGCTATCGCCTCTTATGATATGCATGATGAATTGTGTGTATTTGAGCATAACACAATAAATTTGAAATTTTGACAACACCATAATCATAGCAGACGAGTCATTGTGTGTCTAAAAAGAAAATGTAATCACGTCTAAATATTTCATTCTCTTCTAAACCAGAGTATCTTCTTTTATAAACTGCACAGTCTCCTGTTCCTTGAGAATCTGGTTCTAAACAGACGACCAGAGCTCATATATCTTCAATCTACTCTGCTCCATCCAGTAAAACAAGATTAATGAAGTACTAAGCAGTAATAATATCAAACACTGAGTAAATAATTCCTCTTTTTGGATCTGGTCATTGCAAAATACAGAAGGCTGCTGTTATCCCTCCTAGACAGTCATAATATCCGTTCAGAGAGGGGTTCAGACCAGGGTTGACTATGCCAACAGCATGGCCACATACAGTGCATCTCTTCCAGACACAGGGGCTATTTTAGGTGAGAGTGCACTTTTCAAGCACTTGCAAGCCAGCAGGCTGGAAAAACAATCCCAGAATAGCAAAATCTGCTGCATCTGGTTTGTGTCGTGACAACCCTGCGATGACTCTCCGGCTCTTGATGGAATAGGCAGGCATAGAAAGCTCAAATTTAAATTCTATACGATAGACACACTTTAAATGATACGCTACGCTCAACTACGCAACAAACCATGAATCAATACACGGTGATTAATGATGGCATCATATCTCCGGAGGCACAAACATCGTGTCTGGCAGGGACAAAGCAGATTGTATGATAGTAATTCCATATCCATGACAGTCCGAGTCTAGATGAATTATTAGTCAGGCTCTGGAGTCCATATAGTCGGCAACACATGTGAAATTCTCTTTTATGATGTAGCAACTACTTAGATGAACTCTCAGAAGATTATGTACAGGATCTGTGCCCTAAACTGTTTCTGTTACCACACAGGCCACAATTATTAGGAAATACTATTACAAAACCCTATTATAAAACCGTTTATTATTTTACAACGCGTTCTTTCAGGCACCATAATTTCTTCAAGATTGACTGAGATTTGCAAGCTGTGTACAATACAATGCTAAAAGACATATTTGCACTTATGAGAAAAAGCTACTCTCCTAAACCTCCCCACGTCCCAGCCTCTCATCATGACGGCTTATTATGTTAACGGGTAAAGACACAACAAAGGACAAGCTCGAGATTAAACTAGATCCTTTCCCAAAAGAAGGGTCTGAAGGAGCACGGGGAGCAATTTTGCACAGTATTGAGAAGACAGCCCTTTCCCTATTTTGAAATCTTTAATATCCATGGTGAAACAAACTGGGTGAAAGCAGCAGGGCCAGTTATAAATCATGTCCTATCTGCGTTCTGGACAAGCAGAACAAAAACAAAGCCAGCAGTTCAACAGACCTCTCTATGAGAGCAGTGAAAATCGAACACACCACGGGATACTTAGCAGTGTTCAAGGTCACTGGACCCTGAAGGGGGTCTTCATGGGGAATTTGTGGCAGCCCCACTCCATTAGAGTCCTCACATTGGCCCCAGATTCATTTATTAAGCCCAGCAGAGATGGAACTGAGGCTGAGGCTGAAGTCATCTGTGTCTCTGAGCTCCCTGTAGGGATACCCTGACTCTCTCTGAGTGCCGTGTTTGGATTAAAGAGGTTAAAGAAGCAAGTCCTAACCCGGCCTGCTTCTATGTGATTGCAGCTGGCTGACGTTGGGGCACTAGGGAGGCGCAGACAACAAAAGACGGATCGGATTTTCAGATCCCAGATAAAGTCAGAAAAGAAGGACCTCCACGGCTCTGTCTTCTCATTACCGCTATGTCTCTTTCTGAAACGCCCCCCGTGTCCATGGACCCCGGGCCAGCTGTGGATCAACACTGCTAATATCTCCACTATGTCATGCAGGGCCTCCTCAGCAAGAAGTATTCTCACTGAGGGCTAATTTGAAAATTACCCAGCCACAGTAATGTTTTCATTCTATGTTGCAGGAAAAAGAAGATGAAGTAATCAGCTTTGGATATCTGTAAAGCAAACCAGGTTACCATAATAACATTTAAAGAGATTAGTGTGACATGTCCCAGTGAGCAGGCTCAGTCTAAAATGCTAGACCTGAGCAGGAGGTCTGAGACCCCACACTGGGTTGAGAGGTGAAACACAGTTCAGCAACAGGTCTGGTGATTAGAAGAGGAAGAAACTTCCTACTGTACAGGTAAATAAGTAAAATGCAGATGTGGGGGGGGAATACATCTTTATATACATATGCTTCATATTATTCTAATGCCAACAAAAAAAAAAAAAAAAAACAGGCCATAGTCTCAGTGAATACAGCTAAAACTCAACAGTCGTTAGGCATGCAATATCGATTTTAAAAAAGTGAAGATTGCAATACAGACTACTGTGATTTCAAACATCACGAGGCAGCAGAGGAAAAATGTTGCAAGACTGAGGTTTTTCTCAAAAAAGGATTATAGGTTTGTGCACAAAACTTTGGCCCGCCTTCAAATTCAAAATTAGCAACTATCCCAGATATTAAAACATCAAAAAAGAAAAAAAAACCCGAAACAAATACATGATCTAATCAAAAAACCTATTTATTATAAAAAAGCAATATCGCCTGACAGACTCACTTGGCACCAAAGCAGGCATTTTGTTAGTCTCACGTGCCAGGCTGCCATTATTGCAAACTGTTTCTCCTGGGCCGCTACGTGAAAGGCAGCATTCCTGGGGTCTTCCAGGTCATTTCCGTTAATGAGCGGCCAACCAGAGGTTTTGGACCGGTGCCGGGCCAGCGCCTCAATACTCCAAAACAAATAAACTGAGGTTCATTTAACCAAACACATTGTTCTAGGCCAGACGAAAGGAGTGCAAGCGCTGGGGCAATATTTGCACCACTGATGCGAAAATAAAAGCTCAGAACGTTTACATACCTCCCTTTGTGGGGCAGTGTTTAAGCAAGAGTATTTGTGTTGGAAGCAGCGTAAATGGGAAGATTTTGTAACATAGGGCTGACATGCTTTATGAGAGAGGGGCGGAATTACAACAATGCATTTTTCATGTTATAACAGTACCTGTGAAGACATGAACGGGCCGGATTGAGATGCTGTGGCAACAACCTCAGGCTGTCCGTCAAGCCAAGAAATCTTCAAGGGGTTTCCACTCAGCCCACTTTCATTCTTAGCAGCCAGCTCCTAACAAAAAAATAAACAAAAATCTGTGAGTGGATATTTGGATGGTTTATCTACCAGTATTTTATTAAGACAAAACTTTTTTTCTTGTCCTGAATTCTGTAGAAGTTGTAATGTAAAACCTGGGTATTTGTGCAGTTGGTATAAAACGTATATGAAAAACACATGGGGGAAAGGTGAATTGTAAATGGGCCTCCTCCAAGGCTGGAACCTGGAGATGGGCAGGAAGAGCCCACAGAACCTGTGCCCAGACTGGCAGACATGTTTTCCAGAGAGAAAGCACATGTCGTGGTGAGCAAACCACAACAAAAAAAGTACACCATCATGACAAAGGGCCTGAGGAGCCAGACAGTGGGAACAATGAGACGGCTCAAGTCCTTCCGTCTAATTGTTCCCATCAGCACGGCGATCCCTACAGTACCGAGCGAGTACATCAGTTGGGGTCACAGAGACTGTCCTGAGGCTTGGAAGTTTCTGACAGGTGTCAGTCTTGGTAACAATCAAACTCAGCAGGTGATCTTAGACCTTGAGGCAAATGAGCAGTAAACAAAAGAGGTTCTATGCAAATGTCTGCTTTGGACAAGATTTTCATTGCTGAGCAAACAGAATAAGGACACCGACTGGGAAGGAGTTAGGTACTTACAGCTGCTCTCACAGTTGCAAATTCAACCACAGCACTTCCTTTCTTCTTTTTCGATACAATCACATTCAAAACATCCCCGTACTAGAAGTAAGAACAAAATAAAGTCAAGTGGAGGAAAAAGGAAAGATGCAGAACATTTGAATTAGTATTTCCTTTCACAGAACATTCCCTTAGCTTGAAAACAAAAAGCACATGCACTCAAAAATTCAAAACACTGGTGAATATAGCCGACTTCTGAGATACAAGTTAGGATTCAATGTGTGCTTGGTTATTAGAACTAATGACAGGATGCGTATGCTCGGGCCTGAGCCAGTGATATTACGAGGAACATTCATATAGCATCTTGTGACAAACTGAGACCTCTGTGACATCTTAAAAGAAAGAAGCCAAACTGGATTCATTATTTCAGCTCCTTCGAGCGTGATAAAAATCTGATAAACATTACTTTTAGCATGAAGGCTGAAATTAGACGTTTCTCTTATCCAACTCCCTGCTACAAATCCAAACAGAAGGGAACGGTTGGCCAACGGTTGGGTCTTCCAAAAAACTCTGTCCGACAGAGATGGCAAGGATAAGAGGTAGGCAATAAACACACCTCAGCGGCAGGGACGAAAACTTGATTCCTATCGAAGGCAGCAATGAGCAGAGCAAAGGGGTTTTGAAACCGTCGTGGTTATGCTGGGTGTGTTAACAATAATCGAGGCCTCTTGTCATCAACTTCTTCCCAGCTAAAGCTGAGCATGGGAGCTCAGATGGACGTGGCCTTCGAGAACCTTGTTCTGAAAAAATGAAGTTTTCTGGGAATGGGAAAGTCCGGGAACGCTATGCTTACTAAGGACACTCTGGAGCAAGCCAACAGTGACAAAAGAGACTCTCAAAAGGCCTCTGTTTCATAAAATATAAATATCTTAACATATTTTTTCCCCCTTTAACAAATATGTATCATTACAAGCAGCCAAAGTACACAAGCCCACGCACGTAAGCATGCACACATACACATAATCATACTTGTTTTCCCACACAGCAGTGGCTATTTCGACTTGCCCAAACAACTAACTGTCACTCACTGGAGCTTGCCATGTCAAACAACATTTCCTACTAAAATATATTCCCTTTGGTTATGAATTTTAAAAGGAACAACACTTTTTTTCTCCACAGTTCTTACTCCCTCCTGCCTGGGACCATATTGATTGCATGCGTGCAGAAGAGAAACTAAAATGCCTTTTTTCCGGCCGATTTGACGTCACTGACACTTGCCCTACTCTCATTTAAGGCCAACCTATGCTCCACCAAAAGCCCTTGTGACGGATTATGGCATAAGGTAGTACTGGGTTGCATGAGAAGAGCACATTTCCTAATGCTTCCCTTGGCACTGCTTAATCACCTGGTAAGAGGGGCACAAACAATGGCGTGCATGGCTTTAAAAGGGCACTACAACATTGCCCTCAGCACTTTCACTGCAACAAAACTTAATGGGCCTTGTTTAAGGAGAAGAATAAAACAATCTACAGCACTGATGTCATGCAGACCTCAAATATAGCCGGACTGTGCATGCAGGTTTGTTACCATGAAGCTCTGCCTTGAATCAGGGAGGACAGAGATTAAATTCTACGCGATTTCACCCTGCGATGACAATATATTTCGCTAATTTCCTGGAAATTGAAATTTAGAAACCTTTTATAGAGTGGAATGGTTTTTTTTTTGGTTAATCCGTTCAATTAAATACCTCAAATATTAAAAGTATTTCACCACAGTGATGCAAAATTCCTGTAAACGAGCCCAGCGCCCTTATTTACAGCTGCACAACCAGTTATATTAAAGGAGCAGCTATTTCAATAGTCTCAAGGTACACATCATTATAGCGCCCAACCCAGAACGGTACCTTACTGTACCCTTGTTAAAAAATAGCGGGAGTCCTACAAGCAAGTTATGTGCTTTTGCTGTATAAACAATTAAAATCGCAACTCTACTTATTTGATTTTGACAATGCCCACCTTTTGTAGAAGTTTAAAAAGAATGTCTTGAGAGTAGCCTCCATTCATCTCGTCATCTTTTTTACACTTCCACTTCAACTGGAGGAAAGAAATGCAGAGGAGACAGAAAACAGAGGCCAATATTAGTCATGAGGACTTTCAGGAATTAAAGATGTGCATGACAATGTCTAATCATTAGATTTATTAAAGTCAGCTGACGAGGAGGAAAAGCTCGCCAGGCAGGCTTGGCTCTGATGACACACAGATTACTAAAACCATCAGGGCAGACCGGAGCTCCAGGAGAAAGACATCGTTAAGCTCTTGGAACATCACCATCGCACCACCTGCAAGACCTGCAGTCAATTTCCATTCCTACTGAGGGTGCTGGACAAATGGCAGAAATTTTACACATGGACCCCTGCACTAAAGAATACGAGGTGACTCACCTGCTAAACTATCCGTCCCTAAAATAAAGACCAACACCAGACAAAGTAACCATTAAATAATTTAAGGCAGGTCAATGCCAAAGGCTCAAAAACAGAGGTAGCTCTCCTCTGCTCTGCACCGTGTCTTTGTTTGAACTGCGGTTAACTTCTTGGCTTGCGTAACGTTGTTTATGTGTGTATTTACTTAAAACATGATGCTTGCCATATTATATTGTTATACTGTTGAACTACTTTCTGCACAAGAGCCGCTTCCACAAAAGTCAACTAAATAATGTATTGCATGTTTGGAGTCCTGTCACTGAACGCTGATGTGAGTTCCCGTACTCCTGAACAGAGATATTGTGTAACTTCTCATATCAAAGCACAAAGCACAGCAGAATCCATCCCATATCACGGCAGCTCCTCAAAATTGTATTATAAATGGCAAGCACGAAGTGTTGATTCAGCTCCAACATTCTGCTCACTGTCAGGAAAACAACATTTCTGGGAATATCAAAGGCTACATAGCGTCTTTTACCAACAATTACGGTTGAAATCGTGCATGTTCCTTCCAAGAACAGTCTCCTCTACCCACTGATAACCTTCTTACCCATTAATCTTCGAGCAAGATGTTAAAGTATTTGTATGATGTGATGTCTGTGGTTTCAGGCCGCAACACTGACACACTGCTGTGTTTGCTCACAGTTTACAGGAAAGGCATTAGTGGAAACAACCCAAATGGCTCATTCTGCATTTAATATTTACTTACCTAATGAAAATTAAAGAGCTGTCAGGATATCATGTCATATAAAAGGCATGGCTGACTATAACAAATAACAACATTTTGCAGTTTGCTGGAGTTAATTATTCTAACATTCCTAGACACGTTTTAGAATCTGAGAATGAAATTAAATGTTAAATTCTAAGAGAAGATGTACCCGCAGAAAAATACAAGGCTTTAGATTTTTTGATCTGGATATTTAGTACCGCATTCAATTCCAAAAGAAATCAGATGCAATTACTTGATTGGAAAATGTAAAAGTTGAAATTTCTAATAGATGAAAATTAATTTTCTGATTGTGTACAGAAGTCAACAGCCTCTGAGATGCAGTAACATTCCCATGTCCGCGATTTGTGATACTGTCAGTCGGGTTGTTGTTTGTTTTTCTAACTGAACACACAAACGTCAGGGAATACGCTGCTGCGCTAGATGGCTATCAAATTTAAAAACCAGATTTAATGTCTAAACACATTAGCTAACTTCCCCAGTGTCCATTAATGCACGCAGGCTCGGCCGTTTCCAGGAGGAAATATAATAAGCCGGCTCTTGGCATAGATATTGGTCTCCTGACGACGGCGTGCCTACACTGGAGAAATGGGTGTTAGAACAGCATGTGCGCTCGGTGGTGAGACGGCGTATGTGGTCTCCAAATAATGAATTACAAATGGCTAGAAGTTCTATTTAACTCCCTGCTGAGGTTCTGTCTGTACTTTCACTCAGAGGGAGCAGTTCCTCCTGAGTACATTGGGACTCCCCCTCCTCTCCTCCTTCTCTTTTCCATCTTCCTACATTATTCTCCAACAACTGCAACCCAAACCATGACCTCTCTTCACAGTCTTGTCCCCTGACTAAAATCCCATAGTTGAAAGCCTTACCTTCAATTTGGGGGTTGCATTGCTCTTGGAACATCTCTCCACTCCTGAGTCTGAGAAAAAAAGCATTAGGGGGATGATGAGACAGTGTAAGACAGAGAAAAGACAAAGAAACAACTGTTTTGTTGAAATATGGCCCTAAAGATAGCAGTCGAGGGACTCGTGCAGATAGACAGCAATTTTAAAATGGCTGTCACATGTTAAATGTATGGCTCTTGCAGACACAGCGCTGATCAAGGGGAGGGCTGAGTGCGTGCAAATGGAAGAGACGTGCAGACTGTGCATGAGTAATTGTTCAGCCACAAAAAGGGGTCTAGCTGAAGGCCAAGACTCAGTACTTTCTGTAGCTATACACACATCCATGGCCTTTGGATGCAAGAAAATTATTAAAAGGTTAAAAGCCTGATGAACTGCTATGTGTGTGTGTGTGATACTTGGCATTCCTGCGCTACCTTGCCAAGTTGTATTACTGTCAAGAAACTAAAATAGATCTCTTGAAATATAAGTTCAGTTATTGTTATTGTCTATTATGTGAATAATATTTGGTGAGCCACAGGGTGCCTGGTGGCCGCTGTGGTTGGACTGGCAGTATGACAGCCGGGAAACATGGGGGTTCGCTCAACTGAGGTTTCAGGATTAAAAAAAAAAAAAAAAAAGCTTTAGTGGCTCAAACTGGATTTATCAAGGAAGAACAGGACTACACTAAATTGGCCTGGCTAACCTGGCCTGGCACAGATTGGTCTGGGTTAAATCTTGGAAGCAGACATACTTTTGTAAGTGTAGTCTCCTGTGCGTTGCTGTGCTTCTCTTTCTCTCTGGATCTGCTCTCTGATGAGTCTCTGTTCCTCTTCAAGCTGTCTGGATCCCTCCTCCCTTAGGCGTGCAATCTTGCAGAAACAGGCACACATACAATACAGTGATATGTACACATATACACTTGATAATAGACACAACACTAATACCATATGTCAGAATTTGTGTTTTCCCATTCTAATATTGTGTTCTACTGTGTTTCCAGGAGAGAGTGTGCAAACCATCTTATTTCATTACGTGAGACAAAAAAACACCTTCATGAGGACAGAAAATGGAACAGTGCCACCTATTGGTTACCTCGTCTGTCTAAAGCACATCGCCCTGTATTTACATGCATTAAGCACATTGAGCACATGCCATGACTCACCTTGGAAACATGCATCTTTATTTATCGCCGGTGTTCTGAACAAAGTGCATCAAGTCATGCAATATCACCTAATGGGCTTACTGATAATTATGACATGTCAGTAAGAAAAAAACAAATCTCTCATAGAGCCTTTGTTCTTGGGTCTTTGGAAGATTTCAACTCAATTAGGAGGGAGCATTTGATGAAAAACAGAATAAAAGCACCTGGTCGCGCTTCAGAGTTTCCTGGATGTACTGGAATACCTTGTTCCCAGCACACAGCTGATGCCTTCAGTGTACTGAAATTTGTAGTCTTAATTTTTTGCATCCTCTCCAGGCAATATGTGGTGCTCTATCACCTCTCATATGGTTCATATAAATGCTCTTACCTCTTCTTCAAGTGTTCTTGTGATTTGCACCTCTTCCTGGCTCTGAGCTTCTGCTTGTCGCTCTCTGGCTTCCAAGTCTGCCAAGACAACACAAGCACACACAGAAGTCTGTACCTCCTTCATACTGCATGTTTATATTGAATCTCTTTTCCACCAGACAATACTGTGCTGAATAAACGTATTACTTTCTAACAGCTGTTCTTGTTTATTTTCATAGTGGCAACCTTTACCGCGCTCCCAATACTTTATATATTAATTAGTCATTGCTGTGTTAATCCTGAAATATGTTTAGCAAAAAAATGATTTCTATATAAACCTCCAAAATACCAAATTTAAAACACACACATATAATACGATACTCGGAGGTGAAAACCCCCAAGACGCTACAGGATTTAGAAAATGACTCACCAAGCTTAATTTTCTTTCTCTTATCATCTAGTTTCTTGTTTCTTTCTTCTGCTTGTTTCTTGGCAGCACAAATTTTGTCGTAGGCAGCCTGAAAACAGCATTGGACACAAAGTTGAACTTCAGTCCAAGTGTGAACGAGTAGTTTTGTTACATGCTGAGAGGCATCAGTGGTCTTACCCTGGCAGCAGCATCAGCTAGCACCTCAAGAGCCTGGGATAACTGGTGGAAGAGCTCGGCTAGAAGAAAGGGATGAGAATCACAGTGCAACTGCAACTGAATACACACAGAAACGCTTTTTTTCATTTTATATTATCGCTTCAGGAGCCAGTTTTTACAGTCCAGAACAGTACATTCCATCCTGGAATATGACCTTTCAAAACAACCAAGTGGGTTAAATTTCACAAAGATGTAATATCGGTAACCATGTCAATTTAAAAGATAGAGGAGAAAGTGATGTTGACACAAAGAGACTGAAAAGAAAGACGGGAACACAACATCTACAGAGCATTCATTTCAAAAGAGGTATCATGTGCCTGAACTCCCCAAGCTGACGCTGGGACATGGGGCTGAGACATTTTATGCCTTCAAATTTGCCAGAGGTCTCACGAAAACCTGTTTCCTCCAATGATACAGCCGTGCATTCCCCTGGCCTCTCCCCATCCATCTTCCATTAAGGGCCACTGCCACAAACACCACTACCCCAGTTGTCATCTAACACACACACAGGCAAATGTACACTGGGAGACCACAATCCCCCCAGCTCGTCCTACAAAGCGGCACACTGCTGCACTATACTAGCCAGGCTTAATCATTCACTTATGGGAGGCCTAACAGACCGATACTGTTACTCCCTGTGGGGACTGGCAGTGCACACTAACAGAAGGCTCTGGAGATCATGCTGCCAGCAGAGGCGGTCAGGTTACCTACACGCATATAATGGACTGGAATGAAATCCAACTGAGGGGAGACCTGCCATGCCTACTGGGCAGCTCAGAGTGTCACAACATGGGGGGCTGAGGAAAATGAGGGATAGTGGGGGGTATCTTCAGTCAGTGAAGAATCATGACCTCTGTGTCACCTCTTACATGCACACAACCTTCCCCTAAGGGGCAGCAAGTCCTAAGACTTGCTCCGTTCTCGTGCGATAGAGACCAAGTCTGTCCATGTGCGGGTTCAAGTTTTGAGGCCCTCCAAACCACTTCTTTTCCATTTCTGGGAAACCGACCCCCTGCTTTTGTATTATCCCTCTCAACCTCCCAACCCAACCAATTTCCCAGTTTTTTTTCCTGACATAATCAGGAATTGTCAGAACCATCCAGCAACCACATAAACCTCACTTGAAAACATACCTCGTGACCAGTCTTTTGTCCAAGGTGCCTTTTTTTTTTTTTTTCTCCTATTGACAAAAAGCTACATTGAGACTTTCCTGGTCTAATTGCTGACATGCTGGTTGGCAACAGGCTGCGGAAGGATTCAAGGAGGATGGAGTGTGGAAACACTGGTGGTGATGGTGGTGCTGGCAGCATTTGGCAGGTTTTGTCTGGTTAGAAAGCCAGCGGGAGGAACAGGCGCTGGTTAGCGTTACGAGTGCTGTGGTTAGGCTATCTGGCAGAGCGTGCCTCGCTGGGAGTGTTACTCTAAAACCTTCACTTTGGGACTTGAGTTCGATGGCCAGTCAGTCAGAGGATTAATACGGATTCCTTAGAAAACAATGACGGCAGTCTGTGGCTCAGAACAGAGAAAAGGTGAAGGGAAAGAAACACAACTGAACACAATAACTGGCTCACTCACCTGCTTTGGGGTTGTCTGGGTTCTTGTCTGGATGGCATGTCAAGGCTTTCTGTCGATAAGCTTTCTTGATCTGGGAGAGAAAAATAAGAACCCCCAATGTTATGCAGAACGGAAAGTGCTGATTAGAACACAGAGAGAACGAATCATCCACTTAAGCACAGATTTTGGCCACCACGGACAAGTTAAATTCTTACTCTCAGTATCAATTATCTTTATCCTGCCGTCCTTGGCCCAGAGAACCAAAGCCTGATTAAAAAACGATGGTCCCATTGAAATAATGGCAAAGATGGTAGCAGTCTGACATGAAAACACTTGGGGCGAAATGTGATCTGCATATGAATAAAAATCTGGGCTTGTATTGTTTGGATCAAATCAACACCTGAGCTGATCCTCTGCTTCATTTCCTTCTGACATGTTGTTAATGGCTCCTAACCACTGTGGCACATACTGCACAGTGAATTACCCACAGAAGAATTCCAAACTATTCTCAGGCCCGCTGCCAGTTTGCAAGATAGATGTGCCCCGAGTTGCAACCTAGTATTAGCCCATTCCTGTTCAAAGAATATTGAATATAGATGTGACTAAATGTTACAATATCACACAGAAACAGACAGCCACCATTAATATCTTGGCTGGGAGTCAAAAATTCAGGGGGGGGCTTCAGAGAACCAAAGTGGAAAAACTAAACAATGCTTTGGTGTATTGTAATGTCATGTGAGGTTTTAGTTATAGCTGATTTTTTAACTCTGGGTCACTGCTTGGAATGTTAACCATTCGTTGGTCCTTCTAGGGACCAGTTAATGACAAGGTGGTTTTCATTAGATGTCTGCTTCTTTGGCGAAAGAAGGGAAGCAGGAAAACTTTCCACGGAGACCAGAGGGGGCTGTAGAGCGCAGTGCTGAAGCTTTCTGCACACAACCTTAAAAACACATGCTGATATTTATATACGTGCATCGCATGCTAAGGATTTGGCCCGTGCACCACCGACACATTTGAGCGCAGACGAAACACATACACTGACAAACACTTTCTCACCAGTCTAAATCGGCCATGCCAACGCTCTGCATGTTTTCACATACTCCCCCTTAGCGCAAATCAATCTTCCGCCAGTACGCTACAGGCCACAAAAACTGAGAGCTCCTTTCTTCATGTCTGGGAAACGTTTGCATTGGACGCTTTGTCCTCTGGCATATGCAGTGTTTCCCTGTAAGTTGTTTTGCACAATTTTATCTTTAGAATGCAAGCCAAAGCATACAGAGCTGACATTACGGGGGTGGGGGGGGGACAAAACCCAGCTCTGAGGGAGTGAAGGAGAATGGTATAATCCATCAGTGTTCAGCCCTTGAAACAGAAACTCCAATGAGTCTCCATGACAGTCAACTTAGACACATCAGGCTGGATGCCCACTGTCCGAGGTAAAAGAGCCATGTCTCCGCACGATTATATGAATCCGACAAGCCTTCAGTGAACTCTCTGGAGATTATTGTGGCTCAGGCAGCTCCTAAATGTCACAAGTCCTTTCTTCTATCTTAACTGGATTTTTTTTCATTGTAGTTCCAATGGTAAATGAGAACCTGGTTCACTGAGAGGGCTCTGAGAGACTAGACATCATTAAGGGATATTTAGTTTTGCTGCTTGGCACACAGAGCCTTCCTAGAGATTCAGACTGACACGCAGGGCTGTGGACGGGAGCCAAACACATATGCTCACTGTTGGCCCGAGCATACTTCCCCTTTTTAGCCTCCCGCTGTCTATTTTTCCCTTTTCTTTTCTATGAGCTTCCCATCATAGCTTTTTCCAAGTCTCTGTACAGCCCTTCAGTAAGGTAGAAGTAAATTAAAACTCAAGTTCTGGTTCATTCATTTATATAAAGCTGAAAGAAATGCTGTTCCTTTCTGGGATCAAGAGCAACGACACAAAAAAAGTCCCCATCATTGTGCCTGAACAACAGATATGTAGTGGTACCAACTCACTCCCTCATTTAGCCCAGTCGAGAAAAAGAATCAGCTTTAAAGGGTTATACCAGTGTTTTAGGTAATTTCAGTGCTTTAACTTTAATTCTGATGCATTTTGGCTGACAATCATCAAATTTATGTTCTACAGATCAAGATTTTTTGATATTTTTTCCCACAAATCCAAGAAATTTGTTTCCATGAATTTCTACACGATATGTAAATAATTTATGCTAAAATCCAAATCATTTTCTGTAGCTTAGTAAGTCGGAACTGATTTTGTATTCAGTGTTACATAATCTCTGCATCATCTGCACTTTGACATAAATATATGCACCTTAATTCTAAATATATGACAAGTTTCTAAACCACAGAGAAATTAATGTCACTGTGTGTCTAAAATAGTGGAAAAATACATTAAGGTTAAAAGAATAAAGTTCACAATAAAGACAAGTATGTTTGATGAGAAATAAAGGCAGCTAAAGTACTCCAAATAACTAATATGGCCTTTCCAAGCTCACACCATGTCCTCAACTGACATTAAGTCTACCTCTCACATTTTTCATCACCTGCGTCCAGCTGACAAGACAAACATGTCTCCATGTCTTCTGTACGTAGCAGATGTTTGCCATTGTCGGGACAAAAGTTTGGCCAGCTGAGCTGTTTGACAAGTACAACCTGTCATCAGTGAAGTTGTTCTGGGGGGAGAATAGCCACATTGCACTTTATCATCATTGACTCATAAGACACAAACACGTCTCTGTATTTCAGTCAATTATTACCTCACTGTCTCTCCTTCTGTCCCCTTTCACTCCCTCTTGCACCCTTCATGATATCTTGTCTCTACTGTGCAGCTATGTTAAATAATGCGTGATTGCTTCCATCAATGCCATAGCACGCAAGCCTTAATTGATGCTGGAAGACCCTGAAGCCCGTTGGTCCGACAAACTGCATCCAAAGCAGCCCGACATTTGAGGAGGTTAGCACATGTGTGGATAAGAGCTCTCAGATCGAGTGGAATCTTCTTACAGAACTAATCTGGTAAATTATTGTAGCAATTATCTTTGTGCAGCTCACCATGACCTTATAGGACTGGCTCTTGATTCAATTATGTGTGGAGGGAAAAAAAAAAAAAAAGAAAGAAGAGAAAGCCATGAGAAATCCTAGACTTAAAACAACTGCTGGCCCTTGTGCTTACAGACGATCAAAATTCTAAGTGTTTAATTCTAATATGTCTTCTGCCTCTTGTAATTTAAATTATTCCACATTGTCACATGCCAACTTCCCTCGTCTTATATATGAAACAAATTGAAAGGAAGAAATGTCTACTATTTCCCACCCAGTTTGCGGAAGAAGGAACCACGAAATCAAGTAAAGACGATGATCAACATCAGGAAGCAAACAGTAGCCTAATGGTTAATGCCTGGCAAAAAGCAGACTCTGTATGTCGTCCTGATCCCTGCTTGCCACAGTCTTAACGGCATGCCCACATCTTGTCCTCATTACACCAGTCTTTGGTGCCAATTATAGCTGACAAACTGGTCCTGGTGTAGCTGCACCACAGCCCCGGTAGGGCCTCTAGCCTGTGTAGCTGATTAGCTGCCTGATCTGCCATGGGGCCATCCTCCTTAATTACAATGTTCTACTATTTACAGGACATTATAAGCTGAAGGAAAATAATAACAGGCGCAACAGGGAGAAGGAAAGAACGGATCAAGGACGGGGGCAAAGATGTAATGAAGAGAAACAGTTAGACACTGCGACTGAATTTCCATGTGCTCATGTGCCTGCAAACCTCACAAAACATTCAGTCACACCTGACATTAATTCAGTATTACGCTGTATTAACTTGAAAACTGCATCAAGACGAGGTGTGAAAGCATTTCACAAAATTCTGTTGACCAAATTAAGAATTCTATGCCAGCTTTAATTGAACCAGAAAATTCATTTTTCTATTTCATTTAACCATTTTAAAGTGATATGTCTGATGTAATATGACTGTGGAACACATATCAGTACAATAAACATAATCACCACCGATGATGTTCCTCTGTGAACTGTACGATACATTAGCAATCTTAATCTTGTTGCTTTTACCGAGCAAACGCTCAAAGAAGTAGCTCATCACTGAGGGCAAGAAGTGTATAATGAGAGCTTTTACAATGCAAATGCAATCACCTGTCCTTGAAAGCTCTGTCTGGAGGAAAACCATCCAGGCACGTGTATTTGTGACTACATAGACTGCAACACATTAGGTAATAGGTACATTAAAATTTAAGTAGCTGAATAAACCACACAAAATTTTGTGTGGTCTTGGCTGATGACATTGTTTCGCCAAGCAATCTGCGGTAGGTACAACTCTTTAAACGGTGGCTAGCCTTCAGCAACATTCTCCCTTAGCACTACAAGCACAACGCAGACCCCACTCATCCGTAGTCATTAAATCATAACCTCCAACTTGCAGCGTTTATCAGCCAGTCAAGCACAGAGGAAGGTCAACATCATTGATAACAGAAACATATACTAAATAGAACCAGGAGGGTATGCTGAATGCAAATCTCCTACGTCACGGCAATGTTTTACAAGTTGTGGCGAAGCCCACATAAATAGGCTCCGGGATGAGCTTCTTCCCCGTTTTCTGTGATAAACAACATGCCTAACAGTGGTGATCGGGAAGCGGGCCAAACAACTGGGATAAGTAGCCCGTCTGATGACATCTGTCGTCACACACTTGATTGATTTTTGAGCCCTCCCAGACTCAATGCACTGCACACACAAACCCACTATCTCTGTCGACCATCAACAGACCTCACAGAACCAGCATTCTCCATTTTGGAGCCTCAATTCTGCCCAAGCCACAACCGCTAACTTCCTCAAGGATAATCCTCTAGGGAGGACAGAACTTTGAAATCCAATTAAGAAATTAACTGCTTCCCTCGTTTTGGCAGCGATTTTAATTTCCCTTCAGGCCTGTGGATTCTGGATGGTGGAAACTGTGAGGGGAAGTGGTTGCAGGGAAAACGCCTCATACAGGACAACAGGATGAACCGCTATAGGCTTAGACAGGATATATGGAAGTGCAGCGGGGAACTTTCCCAGAGTGGACTGAAAATCTATCATTCAGGTATCATTCAGGCAAAATTCTGCTTCTGGTAGGTGGAGGTTAGCAGACATTTAACCTTTTGTGAATAGTCCGTCCACAGTATTATAATTTCAGATGTAATCACAGCACCACTTCCAGCTTAAATGAGATCAATTATGCTGGTTTAACCTTCGATAAAGAAGCATTAAGATTAACATACATTGACATGACAGACTCAAACCCACATCCTTACAATTGAGTTTTCATTATATAGTCACAGACTCGTGTCAAAGGCTTTTAATGTCACTCCTGTGTTACACACAGTGACACCAAACACTAACACTGATGCAACGTCCCCACTCAGTGGCCTTTCTGGTGTATCACAGCTGTGTGATTTAGCCATATGCCGGTTTATCTGTTTACTCGTTTATGTCTGTCTAGGTTTTGCTGGACCCAAACATTTCTCACTGAACCTACCTGGCGTTTATCTTAAACCAAAAAGCGGCTACTTGTGTTACGCCATTTTTACGACACACACAAACACTAACACAAGCTCCTAGCAGCAGGCTATCATAGTCTCCTTCTGGCTGACAAAAAGTCCTCCCACAACTCTTTTTTAAAACGTTTAACACTTGAAAATACAACGTCTGTGACACACACATCTTCTCCAGTCTGTAATGCGCCACTAGCAAACAGCAGCTAACTTAGCAGCCACGGGTTCGTTAAATGAACGCTAGCTTAGACGGCTAGCTAACGTACACACCTCCTTCGTTGTAGCAGAGCTTTCAATGCCGAGCAAACCATAAAGGTCCATCTGCAGGATATCCTTGGCCTTTCCGGACATTTCTGCCAATAAAAACGTACAGTACTAACACAGAAAAATTATAGAAATGTAGCCCTGTGGCTTAAATGTTAACGTTTGGCTAGTTTTTATCAGTTTGTTGTTATGCGGGCTACAGGCAGCATGAGTTTGACGTTGTCGACCTTTCAACCGGGATGTGCATTGCAACCTGGGAAATGTAGTTTTTGCGATGCTATTTCTCTTCGTGCGCATGGGCAGTTGTCTCAGCATTGCTTATAGAATTTATAACTAAAAGTATTTTCTTGTATGTCTTTTTAAATTGATTTTGCCAATCTGTGGGTCATTTAAGGGGCTGTTAATCTGTGATTAATCCACAATGTCATTTCATCTTCAATTCAGGTATAAAATTGTTTGTTCAGTAGGGTTTACTGTGTGGAATTAAACACTCAAATGATATGTTAGCAAAGGTTTACAGCTAAGGTACATTCAATACATAATTAAATGCACTGGTTTACAGAAGAAAAATCTGCTAAAATATACATATGTGTGTGTGTTTTATGTCAACAAACTGCAATATTACTGTTGCAAATACTGTTGATTGAAGATAAAAAAGGACATATGTATGTGTTGAGAGAGGTTTTTTCTTTTCACATAAACATGCACATTAACAAACACTTGTGCCAAGGCTCCCTCAAAGTGTTATATTTGAATAACAAACAGCTCATCAAATGGTTGCAGCGAGACTTGAGTGCTCTCTGGTGGACAAGTTATGTCATTCTGAATTTACTGTCCTGGATTTCGCTTTTGTGCATCGGTCAACATAAACAACACGTTATTTACATCTTTGTGTGTGTGTGATAGGCCAATGTCAGCTTTCAATACGAGCATCCCAAAGAATCATTTGGGTTTTACAGGAATTATTGCACAATTTACATCTCATGTTTATATAATGGGCAGCCAGGCTCCACTGCTGTTTACCTTTAGCCCATGATGAAGTCCACTTAAGTGTTTGGTTTTACTTATTTAAACTTGCCAGCATCTTGTAAGCTACCAGACATAAAACGTAAACAGAAAGCTCAGTGCTATTATTTGCATATTTTAATCCCATACCGGTTTATTGGGTTTCTTTTTAGTCATGTTCTCGCTGTTGTAGTTTCAGGCTGTGTGCTTGTATGGTGGCCAAACTGGGATATATGGTCTCTTGACAGGTGTTTGATAGACATTTGGTAATTACCAGGACCTCAAGGAGTGCTTTAGTGGAAGAACAATAAAATTTATTTCATTTTAAGAGAGGATCCTAAGCAAAAACTCAAACAAACATGTTGTGATCACTACAAAGTGGAGGTGAACAAATAGAGCAGAGTTGGGGTTTTTTGTTTTCCGGGTCTGTCTGTGGCGTCATGATAATGTAGCTGTGTTTTTGTCGTTGACTAAGATAAACTGTTGGTGCAGCATATCCTGCAGGCTGCTGGTGCACCGTCGGGAATATGCCCTGACATGTCGGCCCACAATGCTCCCCTTTTATAAAATCTTGTTGGAGAATTAAAGGTTGTTAAAAAAGTACTTGCAAACTGGAATACTCTGTTATCTCAGAGTGTTCACAAAGATTGTCTTCTCTCACTTGTTGTGCTGCTGCTGTATTCATCCGATCATGTCACTTCTAATGACCTCTCCTTCCGTCCAGGATACCTATGATAAACACAGTGGAGCTAAGTCCTGTAATCACAGACATGAGATACGCCCAGGTGGAGGATTCTGCAGCAGGGCTTGTTGGTTAAAGGTCAGCTTCTACCTAAAATCATGTCTGAAATTCACAACGCTGTGTCAGCACATAACATGGAAACAATGACGTTGAGTTTGACTTTGAAGATTAGGTGTTTGATTCCAGCTGATGCGTTTCATGATCCTGTTCAACAAGCTCAGCTGGCAGACTATTCATGGCGAGGCCACAATATTCGTTCAAAAGCTTTTGTTTAAACAAAGCGGTCTCATGCGTGACCATTATTTCCACCATGACAGGCTGGAAATGAAGCTCTCCTGCATGTTCTTTGGCGCTGTAACTTAATGCTGCTGATTTCTCAGTGGTCTCCCGGACAGAAGCCCCATTCTCCTCGAGATTAGTAAAATACATTATAGCAGTGACACTATGGCTCAGAGGACCCAAAGCAGCACAACAATACAATTATCATATAGCCACCTCTCTCCGAAGCAGTGAAATTGTGAGAAGCTAAATCTCCAGTAAGCCACAGAGGGAACGATAACAGCTCCTCTGCCTAAGTCGCTGTTGCCATCCTGACAGTAAAGGTTGTCTGAGTTGCATGCTAAATGGAAAAGTTCTTTGAAGATTTCACCAGGTTATGTTAAGAGAATTTTTAAAAGGCGGAAGCCCCTGTTTGCTACAAGTTGGCTTATGCGCCTTTATCCTGTACTTTTATCAGTCAAGTGAGGCAGTGGATCAAAATGTACTTTGCTGAGGATTTTTTTTTGCCAAAACATTCATAGACCCCTGAAGCTACATAAACAAATCCTAGCGGAAAGATTATATCTGGGCTTCTCCGAATTACGTCTGGATCCTGAGGGCTGATCTAAATCATTCGGATCAATTCTGGATTGGATAAAATGTCGATGTGTGCCATTCCACTGGAAAGATAAATAAATAAAAAGCATTTTAGTTTAACACCATCTGAACAAATGTTGGAACATGTTTTACTCAAGGCACTTCAGAGCAGCCAAGCCATCTGAAGTGAAGGCGTTGTGTCTTCTGTTATCAGATGAAACCTCATTAACTTAAGAGTATAACAGCATTGGAGTGTGTTCATGAATCTTGTGCCTAATCTGGAGAATCACCCGGAGGAGCCCGGTTCTGTTCCCTCCAGCAGCTACTGTCCTCCAGCTGATGGGATGGGGAGTGTGGGAGGAGGAGGAGGGCCCAACCACTGGCTGCATTAAGCATCACAAACACCTTCAAGTTGTACAACGGCAAGCCCATTAGGACCGGAAATAAGGTAATATTACCTTCAAAATAAAGTTCGCATTGAACCCTTTGGGTGCCTGAATGTGATACACAGTAAGTGGTAAAAGATACGCGCATGAACAGTGCTGCATTGTTCCACCAACAACACTATAATTTAATATGGACAGCTTTATTTTTTGATCTGTTGGAGCCATTTCTGCATGTATTTATAGACTGTTGAAATGTACTCAGTTTACAATTGTGTATCATTTGGATGTTTTTTCCTTAGATAGTCGTTAAAGGCTAATGTTTTCATAATGCAGAATTCTATGTCACTGCTAATTTAGCTTTATTGGTCTAATTTGCATTGTTTACGTATCAAAAACACTTTTTCTGCAATACTTCTGGAAAAATAGCCACATATTGCATTTGAGATGGAGGCATTAATTCTGAGTTTGACCATTCTTTCTTTCTTTCTTTCTTTCTTTCTTTCTTTCTTTCTTTCTTTCTTTCTCTTTAGTCCGTTTATTGCTGTGGGGGGGTTCACATTTATCAAATAGTATAAATAAAAAAGAGTTGGAAGCTGAATGATTGTGTAAATTGTTCCATAATACACATTTTCTGAACGTTTAATAACACTAACACAACCATAACTTTAGTGTATTACATATTTAGTACTTCTGCTAAAACCATGCACATTTTTTTCAGTTATTTTTTACAATTTCTCTAAATTTCTGCCATTTTCCTGTTTTATTCTGAAGGCCTTCACCGGATGTGTCAGCTTAGTACTGCTGCCGCCTTGACACCTTCAGTCTGTCACAAGTGAGTGAAAGCTGAGGGGCCGTAGCGATTTGAAAGCAGTACCAGCCGCATACCATAGGGCCTGACCTGCTGCTCAGTGCCCAAATTATCTCTGGTCCACATCTCATCTTTTATCAGTGGAGGGTGGAAGAAGAAGAAAAAAAAAAACAAAAGGTTGTGTGGATGACTGCAAAGCGCTTCCCCATCTGAGAGACTCCAGAGGACGCGATTCTTCAAGTGTGTATTTATGGAATAAAAAGCAGGTAAGGCATCACACTCAGCCTGTAGGTGATCTGTAATGGTGCAACAGCGCATTGAGCTGTCACATGTGGAGTAACGACAGTAGTATGATTTTGTTTTGTTTTTTTTATTTTATTTTAGCGTCTTTTACTCGCCACAGTGAGGTGACTACAGTCCCGTTATGTCCTCTGGTATGTGGAGGGGGGAAAAAAGCGCAGCGCAAAGTAACAAAGATGCACCGATAATGTCGCTGTTTCAGGTGCTTGTCAGTGGGCCATAACGCAGACTGGCAAAGTGACAGAGCGGAGATGTCGAGGCATCCTGGAGGTAGTCCTCGACTGTTCCTTTAAACCATATTCCCTTGGACGGAATGAAAAGAGGAAGGATGTCATTAAAGAAAAAAAAAAACAAGCGCTTTGCCAAAAAAATCCACCTAAACTGAGGATCGCAGTTTGAAGGCTGTGTTCTGGGTTGTCTGCCACACGTGTTGGGTTTTTGAGTCAATGTGCTGATCTGTAAATTGCATCCTCGGACATTCTGGGGAGTAAAGGAAAAAAAACTCACATCCTACTCTGGGATGGATCACATTCCAACTCCACAATGTGCTGGTAGACTTTGCAGGCATGTTGGTCACTCCCTTAAAACAGCAAACTGGGGAGGAAAGGAGGTTAGGATGGGAGTTAAACTGCCACCAGATGTTCTCTGTTGAAATCTAGATTTGTGCAAATACAGGAAACACATTTTAAGATGTGACTCAACTTGAAAATCTCAATCTTCAAGCCACAACCGTGTAATAATAGATATGAAAAGCGTACCAACGATTCAAGGCTAAAAATCTGTATCCTCATTTTACCATCTAACTGGCAGGTCAGTGCAAGGAGAACAAAATGACTGGAACATGTGTAAACTGGTCCTTAGGATCTAATTCCTTTCCTCCTCTTAACTAAAATCCGTTTGTTTATTTACTCTTTTCTTTGTTGCTGGCATGCACAGAACTTTTAGAAATTCATGTTTTTAAAAAAAGCTATTTGCACCCATAAGCTTTGCATATGTCTCAGAGGAAATAAATCAGTGGAGCTGTTTCTGCGCATTCATAAGTGTTGATGCTGTACAGTAGCAGTGGGCTGCTGCTGCGTGGGCGGCTTAACCAGAGGACAGATGAGTAGGCTTGTCCTGTGTACAGTGAATCAGCCTGCTATTAGCGGTACATGTGGGAGACTCTGGCAGACAAGGTCGACAAATGAAACTTGCTGATATTTGAGGCGCGCGCAAGCGGATATGCAAATGTTGCTTTTCTGTTACATGGGATTTTTTTTATTTGGATGTTGCTTAATGTGTAATCCATCCAGGTGTTTGTGCTTGAACAGAATGTCGCAGCTCAGGATGAAAGCAACGTCCAGGGTTATAAAAAAAAAAGAAGAAAAAAACAAGGAGGAAGTCAAACTGCCACACCGCCGTGCTTGTCTTGATCCAAACTTCCTGTCTTGGGAAAGTCCTTTCCTTCCCACTGTACAGCTCCTGAGCCATGCTGGGGATTCACACACAAAAAAACCCCACACACACCAGCTTGTATGAAGTGTCTTAGTCGTTAACTATGACTTTACAGGAAATGAAATCCATTTAACAAAACTCTCAGTGCATTTTAATGACCTCCACTATCTTCACAAGTGTCCATGGCTGTGAAAATTCTCCAGATCACAGGCGTCAACTCGCAACTTTTGTTCCCTGCTCGTGCTGAAAGTGAAAGCACAACGTACTCCTGAATGTGGAAGTGTTTAAAGCACTGCTGGGGATAACTCTTATTAGGCCCAAAAGGGGGGCAGGGAGCATTCCATCCATTTTGTGACTAATGAACACAGCTCTTTGAAGCGCATTGAGAAGGCCTATTGTAAAAAACACCATTGTCTGCCTGCTTGCTGCCACGGTAACACTCTCACACTGGCAGCAGGACTGAAATGCTGCAGTCAGATCCGACAAATGCCTCGCCAAAAAAATGTGAGAAAAGAAAAGCCCGGTTTTTTACCTTGACTCGACGGAGTGAATTGAAAGCCAATTTGTCGCATTTTTCACAAGTCATTGCTTCTGTTCTTGTGCGAGATGCCTTTTGAAAAGAGACACAGAGAGAGAGAGTTATCTAACCCGTTTGCAAGCTGCTTGTAACTGAGTGCTTTACTCCTAACGTGCAGAAAAAAGGCCTCAGGTTGGGTGGATGGTGGAATACAGCACTCGTGAAAGCTTCCACTGAGTCTTTTTTTGCAGAGCATTGTGTTTGTTCCTGCTCATCACTCACTGTCTCATGTGTATATCACATCTGTGCCAAGTGTGAAACCAACAACAGGATTGGGAGGAAGCGCTCACACTGTTCACTGAACAGTCGAATCTCGCAGCTTAGAAAGAAAGTATTTTTAGAGTTTTTGGAGAAAGTTTTCCCCTTTTTTGGCCTGAACTCTTAGCCTGTTGATTTTAGCGCAGTGTGGGAATGTGTTTATACCAGTTCCATGAACTGCAGCGGATAGTTTTTAGAAGCCAGGTTGGTAAAAGAGGGGACTGTGCTCTGTGGATAGGCCAGGAAAGGGCCCTTGTGGGATCAGTGTGTGCATTCACCTCAGTGTCACGTATGATGTTTCTGCACACTCATGTCAATACAGTAGCTTTTCACAAGCGTGTTTTTCTGTCCCAGCGATGAAACATTTATTTCTGCTGTAGATCACGCATGTCCAGACAATGTTGGGTTTGGCTTTGTGCACAGTTTTGATGAGCTGACAGTGAAATTCTCTTTCAAGCAGGATTAATGTTGGAATGTTTGGCAGAGCTGGTGATGACTGGACTGCTGACATATCTTTAACTCGTACACAAAGTGCAGAGCTATCGTTTCCCTTTCTGTTTCCCGTTCCGATAAGGCGTCGCTTTGGCCGGCTTCCTTTGGCTTTGACAGCGATGACGACACTGTATACTGGACAAGATTAGTGGATATCAGCGCAAACAGGCACTTTCAGCAGTCCAAAAAAAGCAGCTCTTTTTTTTCTTTACTCTAATATTTGCTAAAAATGTCTCCTGTCATCTGTTTCCTCTGCAGCTCCACCAGCCATCATGTCGACCAAGTCAGATGGGAAGAAGAAGTGGGCGGCAGTCAGGGGTCGACTGGGCTCCTCTCAGGACTCCGACACCCAGCAGGAGGCCAACCTGGAGAGCGCTGATCCAGAGCTGTGCATCAGACTGCTGCAGGTTCCCACCGTGGTCAACTACTCCGGGCTGAAGCGTCGGCTGGAAGGCAGCGACCAGACATGGATGGTCCAGTTCCTGGAGTTAAGTGGGCTGGATCTCCTCCTGGAGGCTCTGGACCGGCTCTCTGGTCGGGGATGCTCTCGTATAGCAGATGCCCTTCTGCAGCTCACCTGTGTCAGCTGCGTCCGGGCAGTGATGAACTCATCAGCGGGGATCCACTTCATTATCGAGAACGAGGGATACATTCGGAAGCTTTCCCAAGGTCGACTATAAATGCACTTCCTCTATATATGATCTATGTCTCCATTTAGTCTCACATTAAACGAGATGATTCAGAAAATAAATGTTCCTCCTAACAGTTTAGAGTCAAATAAACTAGTTTTATATCTAAGGACACTAGGTGCCGCATATTTCTTCAATATTATGCAACATTTGTGTTAAAGTGGCCACAACTCACATGACTAAAAGATTCTCCGTGACTCATTCTGCTGAACACACTTTTCCAGTCATTTTCTTCCGTTTGTATACAGACATGAATCATTTAGGGTTGTTTCCGGAAATCCCCCCCCAAAAAATCAATGTCACAATTGGTTGTAAACATTGGATTTTCCCATCTTCAGACACATAAACACGTGTTTATCTACACTGCAGCGCCACATCTTCAGGGCAAAGTTCAAAAGCCTAAAAGACAACTAAACATCCTGCTTAGCTCTACAGACGACGACAAGAGAGTAGCGAGAGGGGCTTGATTTAGGGAAAACTGATGGAAAAGTAGGTGTATTGATGTGTGATCGTGACACTCCACAGCTTTGGACACCTCCAACATCATGGTGAAGAAGCAGGTGTTTGAGCTCCTAGCAGCCCTCAGCATGTTTTCCACAGAGGGGCATCGCCTGGCACTAGATGCCCTGGACCACTACAAGGCAAGTAGATCAATATGTAGAAAAATGCATTTTTGCCAGGTTAAGTTGGGATTTGCCTCACATGAACCTGCATGATCAATGCCAGAGCCGTCAACAGTGCCCTCTAGTGGTGGGTTTCATGCACAAGCTTTGCAGAGTTGCAGCCTTCTTAATCTCTCTTTGATTGTTTATTTACTCTGACTTTGACTGAACAGGGCGTGAAGACTCGGCAGTATCGCTTCAGCGTGATCATGAACGAGCTGCAGGCCACGGACAACGTCCCGTACATGGTCACGCTCCTCAGCGTCATCAACGCTCTCATCTTCGGGACGGATGACCTCCGGCAGAGAGACAGGATGAGAAAGGAGTTTATAGGTAGGGTTTTCTGTTCTGCTGCTATTTAAAAATTAATCAGTTTACAGCCCCTATAATGAGCGCAAGGTCACACCGTGGCAAACTGTTGGTGAGAAGTGAATGCGAAGGGGAAAAGCAGGCCATCAGCAAGTGCAGTATTACAAATATCTCTGTCACTGGGTTTGGCTAAGAATAGGTCTAATGGCCTCATTCTTACTGTGACAAAACGCCTGAGAACTAAGCGAACCTCGAGTGTATTCAGCTTTGTGTATTTCCCACTGCAAACGGTAACTGTTAGAAGTTGTAGTGGAAATAAAATGTCATCGCTCTCATACTTATTAAATACATTGCACTAAGGAGATTTTGATAATATCCTGAGACAGCAGACCAACTAAATTGAAATTCACTCTCCATCCATCCATCCACTTTGTTTAACAGGTTATTTCCTTTCAGGGCCACTGGAGTCTGTTCCGGCATATACAGGGCAAAAACTCAATTAACCTTGGAGAGACAGTAACACCCAGACTTGAACCCAAGACTCTTTTTTTTTTTCTACAAGGCGCCACTGAGCTGCCTGTAATGCATCACATTAGAAATAGTGTGACAAATGTGTCATCGCTGAAGCTATATAAACACGGCCACGCTCCCCTACCACCTTTGAACAATCAGCCTATCTGATTGGCCACTCCTCCTTAGTGATTGCTCACCTGTGACTTCCTGCCATTTCCCAAAAACTAACATATCTGTGTAGAGATGCGTGACAACTTTTTAAGATAAACTTTCTTAAAAACTAATGACTGAGTGCTGTGATACTCAGTACTTGCGCTTTGTTGTTTTTTCTTTCCAGGGCTTCAGTTGCTTGATATTCTGCCAAAGCTGAGGTGAGCCATCCTTCTGGTGTTCACATTTAATTTTGTCAGCCTTTTAATTTCTTAATTTATACGATAAACTCACCTCGGTTGATTTTTTAAAGGTTATTTTTTAAAGGCCAGGATCCTTACAAGTAAAAGAATGCTTTTAAGAAAAGAATTTTGCAATTTATTTCCATTAATGACGGCAATTTAGGCAGCGACAAGGACCGCTGCCTTTCGAAAAAGTACTGAAGACGGTGTTTCAGTGATGAACTGTGCCCATGCCACGCAGTGATCTGTATGTGTGTGCCGTGCAGGGAGCAGGAGGATGAGGATTTGATAATTCAATGTGAAGCTTTTGAAGAGGCGATGGCTGAAGATGAAGAGGAGCTGCTGCGAGTGTATGGGGGCATTGATATGAGTAATCACCTGGAGGTTTTTACTACACTCTTCAACAAGGTGAGAGCAGGCAATTCAAATTGATTCATCTTGCTTAACTTAGTCCAATAAACTGAAGAATGAATGGATGCATGTTTGGCTACAGATGCCACACAATAAGACAAATACACTGTTATCTTTCTCATTAATACCAATTCCCGCATAATTTTTTTGAAACCACGGCACACGTTATTAAATTTGGGCAAATCTGATTAATTTGTGTTAATGCGTGCGTGCAGGTGAGCAGCTCTCCAGCTTCTCTCCAGCTGCTGTCCATCCTGCAGACGCTGTTGATGCTGGGACCGGGCCGCTCTGATATCTGGCTGGCTCTGGAGGCTATCACTAACAGAGCCATACTGCTAGCCCAGGACTGTGAGTCAGCACGGCAACACAACAACACATTGGGTCAACAGTCAGAAGAGGCTAATGTCTAGCTAATGACCCCCTCTGTGATTAATGTGTGAAGGGGAGCGATTATCCAGGAAAACAGAGTGTAGAGACGAAACGGGGGCAGCTGGTGACAGGACGGCTGAAAGCTTTCGTTGTAGCGACAGAAGTCGTTTCAAATGGGGTTCATCAGTTCTGTGTGTGTGTGTGTTTTGTCTGACTTTGTGCTCCAGCTCAGATGGAGTCCTGCGAGAAGATCATGCAGCGGCTGATGTTTTTCAAAGGGAGAGGTTCTGTGGATCACCATGAAGTGGACGGGCTGCGGTTGAAAGTGGATAAGGCTGTTCAGACTGATCCTGATCATCAAGACAAAGACAAGGCAGATGAAAGCGCAGCATCCTCTCAGAAGCCACTGTGTGCCTCTCCTCCTGCTCCCCCTCCTCCTCCTCCGCCTCCACCACCTCCTCTACCCCCTGGGCCCTTGTTCCAGCCCTCTAACCAGTGTCCACCGCCGCCCCCACCACCTCCCCCACCCCTACCTGGAGGGTTTGGTGGTCCTCCACCACCTCCTCCTTTGCCTGGAATGCCCCCACCACCACCACCGCCACCACTGCCCTCTGGTCCAGGCATGCCTCCTCCACCACCTCCGCCACCCTTACCTGGGATGGGAGGTGGACCACCGCCTCCTCCCCCCTTACCCGGCATGCCGCCTCCACCGCCTCCTCCCCCAGGCATGATAGTAGCTCAGAGCAGTCAGCCTCTGGGGTATGCTGCCCCTCTAAAGACAAGTCGGTGCCCCACTCTGAGGATGAAAAAGCTGAACTGGCAGAAACTTCGCACTGTCACGGGTAAGTGGATTAAACATTCTTGTGAAGGCTCAAATTATTTCACTGACAAGCTGTCATTCATCTTAATGAGGCAGCAAATCCTCATGGAATCTAATTCCCAACGTATCAACCCAACTGTGTGTTGCCTGAATCCACCAGTTAATATGTTATCACCCATTTCAGGCCCTTCTGTACCCTTTAAATTAAAAAAAAAAGGCAGCAAATACTATTATTTTAATGTGGGCATTACAGAGGATTCCCCCAAGTTTTGAAAGAAGAAGGGACATCACTTGGCACAATGCTGATACAAAGTGGAGCCACACGAGCTCATGACAGGTTACTCTCTTCCTCCGCGCACACAGATGGTCACTCCATGTGGGCCTCAGTTCAGAAAGAGCCGCCTCCTCGGGAGCCGGACTACAGCAGTATCGAGCAGCTGTTCTGTTTCCCGGTGACCGAGCACAAAGACAAGGGGGCAGCTGCTCCTGTCAAGAAGGAGCCTAAAGAGGTGTGCTTGGTCAACACTCGACAGTGCTCCTCAGAGCCGTAGCACTCAGAACCAACACAGCTGATAAACAAAGCTGAACACTAAATATGCCTCTCTGTTTTTCCCCTAGATTACATTCATTGATCCAAAGAAAAACTTGAACGTGAACATATTTCTAAAGCAGTTCAAATGGTGAGGGATTACACATTATTTTGGTGTTTCTGTCTTATACATATTTTGGCTCATTTTCACTGATGTTTTTTTTTTTCTGTGCAGCACAAATGAGGATTTTGTAGCCATGATCCAGAATGGAGACCGGAGCAGGTTTGATGTAGAGGTGCTAAAACAGCTTCTCAAGCTCCTACCAGAGAAGCATGAGGTTTGTCTTATTAACATCTCTGAATCTGAGTTTTTTGCGCCCATTTGCCAATTAAGAGCCCACTTAAAACTGACCCTGCATGTCTGAGTCACCGTTTTTATGTTTTCACGTAGATTGAGAATTTGAAGTCCTTCCAAGGAGAAAGAGACAAGCTGGCGAATGTTGACCGTTTCTACACCGCCCTCCTCACTGTGCCGTGGTAACTTTTCTACTCCAGTTCTAGCTGAACAGTTCATTATGTAATATTCTAAATGCGATGTATGCTGCCGTGCTGCCACTCGCTTTGCTTTCTCACTCGTCTCCCCAGTTATCAGCTGAGAATCGAGTGCATGCTGTTGTGCGAGGAGACTGCGTCAGTGTTGGAGATGCTCAAACCTAAAGTCAAGCTGGTGGAGGAGGCCTGCCAGTGTAAGTTAACCTCTGTGTTCACATGTATGTGGTTGTCACGCTTAATTATCCAGCTGTATATCCAAATTAACTTAAATTTGTCAGCCCTCAGAACGAGCCCGCTCATGCCCAGTTTCTGCCGCCTCATCCTCGATGTGGGAAATTTTCTCAACTATGTAAGATCCTCCTTTGTCTCATTTATATTTTACTGAAGCTGACATTTGCACAGAGCTTGCATTTTTAATCACTGGTCTACTTCCAGGGAAGTCACACAGGGAACGCTGAAGGGTTCAAGATCAGCTCTCTGCTCAAGCTAACGGAGACCAAGGCCAACAAGAGCCGCATTACGCTGCTTCATCACATCCTGGAGGTACACAAACTGGTGAACAGCTGCCATAACTTTACCCCCCCTCCTCCTCTCAGTCTTGAACCTGTTTAATTACCCACTGCGTGGCTTGTTTTGCAAAGGAAGCAGAGGCGAACCACCCGGAGCTGTTGGCGCTGCCGGATGATATAGAGATATGTGAGAAAGCAGCAGGGTATAGAAATCTTTCACATCTACTCAAACTCATGTTATTCCTTTTTAATTGGTTCTCAATGGATCTGTAAGAGACACATAACAAAAGGGGGCTTTGCACTTTGTCCTCAGAGTTAATCTGGACTCCGTTCAGTCAGAAGCCAGTGCCTTACTGAAACGACTGAATGAAACGACCAAGAAAGTCTCCAACTCTGCGGAAGAGGTGAAAGAGCAATATGCAAAAGTTCTTGAGGTAAGATGTTAGTCTCTGGTTTTCCTCCAAATAGAATGGATTACTCTGGCAGCTGGATCCAAATCCAAAAGATTTCTCTCTCTCTCTCTCTTTTGCTACAGGAAAACCGTGAGTCATGTCAAGCTTTAGGTGAAAGATTCACTGAGATTGAGAAGAAGAAGAGTGAACTGGCTGTTTACTTATGCGAAGACACGAATCAACTGTCACTTGAGGAACTCTTTGGGACCATCAGGACTTTCCGAGGACTTTTCATCAAGGCACTCAAGGTCAGGGAGGATACTTCGTTGATGGGAGACTGTCCGAAGGATCGTACAAGGTGTGTCAGAAGTTTCAGGACTGGTGTCACAAAAGATATATTTCAAACCCAAACTACGCGTTTTCCCCTTCCGGCGATCAACCAGCATGTCTACAAAGAGATCCTGCAGCGTTTGCTTCATTCAGTAGAAGAGGCGAGAGTTGTGGCTGCTTCACCATGACAACCTGCTCACAATGCCCTGAGCATCCGACAGTTCCTGGCTGAGAAGAACATCACTGTGCTGGAGCAACCTCCCTACTCACTCCACCTGGCTCTGTGGGATTTTATTCCTCTTCCTCAAGCTCAAGGGGGTCATCAAGGGGACCCGTTTAGAAGACGTAGACGACCTCAAGATGGCTGTGACGATGGAGCTGCGGAGGATCCAGGAAGAATCCTTCCAAGAGTCCGTGAAGGCAGAGAAGGCTGGGAAAGTGTTAAACTCCAGGGGGATTACTTCGAACGGGAAAATTTGTAGTTTCGATTTAAAATATATCTTTTGTGACACCAGTCCTGAAACTTTGCTGACACACCTCGTATGTTTCCATGCTGTGCAACTGAATGTGTCGGCATAAATACAGTCTCCCTCTTGTGGGTATGAATACATTAGAACAACTAGAAGATGCTAATATGTATCTGCCTCAGTGATACAAAGACAAATTGCCATGCACACTTTGTACTTGGCAGTGAGTGACATCCTTTCTTTCACGATAACAGGAAAATAAAACCAGGAAAGAGCAAGCAGCCAAGGCTGAGAAGAGAAAGAAGCAGCTGGCAGAGGAGGAGTCCAAGAGACAGAAAGGAGAGAATGGAAAAATAAGTAAGTTGTGAGCAGCACTCTGTTCTTGCATTGTACTGGAAATTTCGAGCCAAGATGTAATTTGAAAAGCATCTGTTTCAAGCCCTCTGTGTGCCCGTCTTTTTTTCAGTCAAGAAAGGCTTCGTGCCACAGAATGATGGCTGCATCATCGACCACCTCCTGGCGGATATCAGGAGAGGTTTCAGCTTGAGAAAGACCCGGCCAAGGTGCGATTCGGAAAGCCTACCTTCTAGTGAAATGCGTAGGGATACCTGCCCACCTGGTAAGGACAAGAGAATGCGGCCTCCATCCGCAGTTCCTAGCTCTGCTCCTGATCCACTTAGCTGCGAGCCACAAAACTGCCTCGTAGGATCTTTTTGCTTCTGCGGCACTCCCATCTCGCTACGCTAGCTCCATTGCTTTTGCTGCTATATCCGTTTACTGTAGAACATCACCCAATTTCAAAGCCAGTTATTACCTTAATTTCTGTAAATTCATCAACATTACAACCCACTTGTCTCCCTCAGGATCAAGTGTGAACTCTGTAGAAGAAGAAGCCGTCGATTCAGCCAAACCCTCCGCTCCCTCCAAACCTCAGACAGAGGATCACCAAGGCGGCACAGGCGAAGTGAACGGATTCATCAGCCCCTCAGAAGAGATTCCACCAGCACCTCAGCTGAGTGCAGCACAAGACGGGGGAGCAGTTGTAACTTCCAACCAACCGCCAGGAGAGCCAGCCACGATGACGCAGCCTGCATCGGAAAGACCTGCGTCGCTACAGGAGGGTCAACACCCAGGGAAACCTGCAGTATTAGCGCTAGATACGACCAAACCCCAGCCTCAGGATGACGGGGAACACCGGCCACGTCTCCCCACCAATGGCTTTTCATTAGATTCAACTGAGACCAGTGTCCTCAGTCCATCCTCCCTCTCAGATTCTGACCTGCTGGAGGCTGTGTTGGATGGCATGTCCAGTCCGGTAACTGAAAAGTTGATGCCTGAGGAGCCAGCAGACATTAGTGTAAATGTTCACATCGAGGAAAATCCTCTACCTAATACAGACCTTAACGTGACGCAGAGTAGTGAAAGCAATATCACAGGAGATGGGAAAGGTGAAACTAGTAATAAAATAAGCCATTTACCAGAGACTGCAGGGAAAGAGAAGTCTCGAGAGGAGGAGAAATGCATTATCGCAAGAGCATCCGGCCAAGATGAGGTGACGAGTTGCAAACATTCAGACCCTAAAAGCAAAGTGGCTACACTCGGGTACGACGTCCCAGATGGACTGGAACCGGAAGATCTGCCGTCAGTGTCTGAAGCAGTGCCTCCCTCTCTTAAGCCGGAACCAAAGAAACAGTCGAGGCTTTTTAAGCGAAACAAAAAGAAGAGTACTCAAGGTAATCCATCCATTCACTTAAATAAAGATCATGTTTGGAATGCTAGTCTCTTGACGTGTCATAAAGGGAAATCCTTCTTTGCTGTATTTTTAATGCATTTGACATTTTATATTTTATACATGGGCTATTTTAGTATGTGTTCGTAAGTATTTTGCACGAAAACATGCATTTTATTAAAGAGTGTGAATGCAGTGTGCAGAGCTTGATTTGCAGATTTAATACTTGAATGGATTTAAATTTATGGCCAGTGTGTTTGAATGCTCTGTTTTCATTCTGACTCTCTGAAACACAAGGTAACAGTGGAAAAGGACACACTAGGCATAAAAAAGGCTGTGTGTTGCAGTGAGGTAGGTCAAATCGATGGGATGACAAACTGTAAGCAGGAATATCCTCCTAATGAACTCAGTCATCGTCAGAGCTTTGTTTCCAGTAACACGTCATCTGTTGGTCTAACTGGAATCTGGATTTCATTTGTCTGTGTTGTCTGACTTTTAACACTCGTTCCCTTTTTAACACTCCTCTAATTGAGCGGTTATCCGGCTAAAATGTTGTCTTGAGTTTGCTCTAATTTCCGTGAAACCTGGGGGGAAAAAACTAAACCTAAAACAATTTTTTGTGTGCAATATTTAATCCTCTTTAAACAGCACTTAAATAATCTGGCAATGCAGTTTTCTGATCTCGAGCGGCCTTGCAGTTTGTGAAGTCACTGTGTGGTCATTGTGGACTGAGTTATCTCATGAAAGCTGTCACTTTTGTGTCTCCTCCTTCCATATTTGCTTGTCCATTCTCTAAATCTGCAACTGGGACTGTTTGACCTACTAACACAGTCTCGTGTGCGTCCTGTAAACTGCTTTGTTGATCTGACTTTTATGAAAGATGCTGTATGTGATCTAAATGCATTAAAATTCTTTATTACTAAAAACATAACTTGGAACATTTGAAAGCTGATAGTTATATTTGCAAGTCAAACAACCAACTGAGTACTTTCTCTGCAAGAGCCTTTAAAGTAAAGTATTAAAAAATATTTTTATTTAGATATGTTGCGATTCTCTCTATTCATTTGAGTATTTGTTTCCCATAGGTGACTCCAGAAAAAGGAAATCAAGAGGAAAAAGAAAATGTTAATGTCACACGAATTCTGAACTGGATGGCTGAAGTATATTTTATTTTGTGAGACTACATGAATATTGACTCTTTGAAGAGGATCTTTGTGCAAAGGTTGCCCTGACCAAGAAGAAGAAACACATCCAAAGCTGGGATTTTCAAAGCAAGGATGACAACTTGTCACTTTATGTAAATTGTACTTTTTTTTAAATGTATATGAGTGCAAAACTATTCCAAAAAAAAAAAGTTTAATGTGCTTTATATGTTTGTATAATTGTTGTAATACGCTGTGAATGTGTTTTATTATAAGCTCCGTTTACCTTGCAGCACCCATAGACAGAAAGATGCTGTGTTTGGTGCAAGATAATGAATTTAATCCATCACTGAAACAAAGCTGCTTGGATGTTCTGTCCTAATTTCTTTATATATTATTCATATGAATCAACAGCACATATAAGGACAGCATACAATGGATTGTAAGTTTTAATGTTGGATATATTTAATAAAACTGAATTTACTGTTCAGCTGTTTGTTTCCAAGTCAATGCATTCGCACAGATGGCAGCACTGAGGCGAACTAAATGAATTAGAAAAGCTGTATTATGCAGGTCACATGCAGTAAATGTCCCAATAAATAGGCATTAAATGAGTGAATACACCTGAGATTTGTGCGTAAAAGCTGTTGTTCCGGCGCTTTTGCAGCCTTGGAGACAACTTGCCAGTGAACAGCTACGTACTTCTGTGCGTCTGGCTCTGACATCATCGGCTATGAAGTTACAGATATGGCAATGCCACTCTTGGAGACACTTTAGTCTTCTTGAGACGGACGGACTAAAGGCACCACCACCATCATGTCGCTCACCTGGTCGGCAAAAGACCACAAAAACGCAAATCAAGCCGCAGCGACCGGACAGAAGCGATCGCGTAACGACGCGGGGAACAAAGTGACGGTGGTGCTCGGTGCGCAATGGGGAGATGAGGGAAAAGGGAAAGTCGTGGATTTATTGGCGACCGAAGCTGACTTTGTCTGCAGATGTCAGGTAAGTGTTTTGATTGGTGATTTCAGTGAAGCATAGGCAGTGGGATGTGATTTTCTTTGTATGAATTCATTTCCTTACAATAGAATGGAGTCTCTTACTGGGTGCAACAGGTGCTCAGAGGGAAAACACTTGCACTTCTGTGATCTGAGGAATACTAATGAACTATAACCGCTTTTTGCTATTACAATAAACCATATTTATGCATGTAATATAATTTCCTAACTGTCCCCTCAAGGATTTAAATCACAGAATGTGGACATTTTGATAAACTGAGCTGCAACTTTAAAACATTTTTCACACATATGATGTCAGTGTCTGGTGGAAACTTGCTCTGACTGACTTCTTCAGCTCATCACAGATGCAGAATGGATGTGAAGATGTATTAAATTCATACTAAAAACCAAACAGGGCAGCTTCTGTCCACTTACATAAGACACATAACACTCCAGAGGTCACTCCAGCACCGGGGCACTCGGTGAAACCTGCCAACTGTTGCTGTGTTCTACTATCTCCACTGACAGGACTAGCACCCTGTGTTCTAAAGGCTTCAGAGCCCCACCCATCGGGCTCGAGAGGTCACATTCTCGGGCTGGCTTGATATGTGAGAAGGCCAGGTTTTAGCCAGTGGGGGGAAACAGAGCAGAGGGTCCACCAGCACCAGCCAAGTCAGTTAAAATAGGTGCTGGAAAAGCTCGACGAACCTGGGAAGAGGGTGGCTTATCGCAGCCTTATGAAAATAAGATGAGACATGTCCACGAATCATCTCTGTTGGTCTTGGGTGTTTGATCAAAAATACTGATAGTATCAGTTATCACAACTTTATGCCTGTGTTTGATTTACAGGGAGGCAACAATGCAGGACACACTGTGGTAGTGGATGGAAAGGAGTATGACTTCCACCTCCTCCCCAGTGGAATCATTAACACCAAAAGCATATCACTCATCGGTAAAGGCTTTAATCTGTATTATTTATAGTGATGGCATCATCTGAACTATTACTCTGAGCCTCCTTCCAACTCTTTCTTTGCTCTTCCAGGTAATGGTGTGGTCATACATCTACCTGGTTTGTTTGAAGAGGGGGATAAAAATGAGAAGAAAGGTATTGTAACAACAAAAACAAAAAAGTATAAATTAAGTTTAGTCACATCCACTCACATCGATGTGATTTCTCCTCTCTGACCAGGTCTGAAAGGCTGGGAGAAGAGACTAATTGTCTCAGACAGAGCTCACCTTGGTATGTCCAGCTATTCATAGAGGTTTCCTTCAGTCTGCATGAGATTTTATAGTGTGTGAAGGTTACATCGTATTGATTCGTGTCCTCTCTCTCCACAGTGTTTGATTTCCACCAGGTTGTTGACGGCTTGCAGGAAACTGAAAGACAAGCGCAAGAAGGAAAGAAGTAAGGGTAGGGAAGGCAACGAGGGCATGATGCGGTTCAGAGTGAGCCTTTGCAAAAAGATACAGCGATAAAGAAAAGTACAAATACGCACTGATTTCACAAATTGTTTTACACGACAGCATCGGAACAACTAAGAAGGGAATTGGCCCGGCATACTCCAGCAAAGCGTCTCGCACTGGCCTACGCGTATGTGACCTGCTGGGTGACTTTAAGGACTTCTCTACCAGGTAGGAATGGTGTCAGGTTAAGGAATAACCCCGAGCGATGGGATTCAGCCCCTTTCATGTGCGGTTACGTGTCATGAGTTATGTTTTTGTAAACCCTTTTAGATTCAAGAACCTCGTCCGCCAGTATCAGTCCATGTATCCATCCTTGACAGTTGACGTTGAGGACCAACTGAAAAAACTAAAGGTAGACACTTATAAAAGCAGCTGTTGTTGGGACGCTGCGCTCAACAATCAGACATATATCTGTTTTCTTGTGTCGTGCAGGAATACTCTGAGAGATTGCGCCCAATGGTTAGAGACGGGGTCTATTATATGTACGAAGCTCTTCATGGACCTCCAAAGAAAATTTTGGTTGAAGGGGCCAATGCTGCTCTGCTTGACATTGACTTTGGTGGGGTCCATCACCAAGTTTTCCTTCAGCATTCATGGCACATTAAAACATTCATTTTGGAGTTTGGGAATAAGTTGGTGCTACTGTAACGTATTCTGTTTTTCAGGCACATATCCTTTCGTTACATCATCAAACTGCACCGTCGGAGGGGCTTGCACCGGTCTCGGCATCCCTCCCCTGAATATTGGTGACGTATTTGGCGTAGCAAAGGCCTACACCACCAGAGTGGGAATCGGAGCCTTCCCTACAGAACAGCTCAATGTAAGGGCTTGAGAGCACCTCAGTAAATCACAGTGTGTTGTGGGAGAATGTTGTCACATGCTCACTCTGCCTTCCTGCTCCACATATTGTACGAGGAGACGCATGACATGTTATGTAAGTGCCTGATATTCAGCGTGACATGTATAGTTTGTTTGTGATCATGTGGCTGACACACAGGCGGCAGGGCTGGCGAGGTGGGGGGTAGTTGGGGGGGTGGCGGATATATTCTGGCTGTGTGCAGCTGTCAAATTTTGTGCGAGACGGGCTCAAACACGCTTTAAGTCTTTTGCAGATCACATGTTCACAGGGATAAATTTAGGGGCCAGAGTACGGGTTAAGGATATATTTACTGTGTGAACCCGGGTTATGTTACTTGTCACGGGAACTGACCGTAGGAACATAGGTCAAAATGTGAAAACTTTATCCCCCAGCTCATGTGATGTTTTATTGTACTCAGTTGCGTATACTGCCAGTGTATGGATCGCATATTTATAAATGTGTGACCTCATTTAAGCCCGTGAACAGTGAAGTCGCAGCTAAGGTTGTTTTTTTGTTTTTTTTCCTGTTTCCATAGGCTGTAGGGGAGCTGCTGCAGACGAGGGGTCATGAGGTTGGTGTGACCACAGGGAGGAAACGCCGTTGTGGCTGGTTGGATCTTGTCATCGTCAGATACGCTCACATGATAAATGGCTTCACCGCGTGAGTGGCACTTTTAGGTTTTTCATCAGGTGTTTTGCGGGTGTTTTGTTTGACTATGCCAAGCTTGCATTTTTTTTCCTGCACCATCATCACTTGCATTCTAACTGCACATGTTAAACAATTCTCATGTTACTTGTCCAACAGCATTGCTCTGACAAAACTCGACATTCTGGATGTGTTGGATGAAATTAAAGTCGGAGTCGCCTACAAACTCAATGGAAAAAGAATTCCTCATTTCCCAGGTAATTTAACAGACACCCCCTGCTTGGTTTGAGGCCACTTGGCTATCGAGATTGAATTTAAAGGTTGGTAATAATTGGTTTCTTTTAGCCAACATGGACGTTTTGCAAAAAGTGGAGGTTGAGTATGAGACCTTCCCTGGTTGGAAGACAGACACATCTGCAGCCAGAAAGTGGAACGACCTCCCAGCCAAAGCACAAAACTACATTCGCTTCATTGAGAACCACATCGGAGTTCCCAGTATGTTTGACACACCTTGTTTGTTATTTCATTGTATTTTGCAGCTCACACAAAGAATCAAAATAAATAGTAACACAAGAACTGCCTGGTATCCATCAGGTGGCACTGATTCACCGCTGAGATACAGCCTTTGTTGTGAGCGCTGCAGCTTTGTCAGTTTTTCTAATCTTGCTGTTTCTTTCTTTCATTCCAGTCAAGTGGGTCGGCGTTGGAAAGTCCAGAGAGTGCATGATCCAGATGTTCTAAACATTTATCACCTCTTAATGGAAGACCTGATGTGGCATCTTTTCATCACCGAAAATGATCTTCTCCTCGTTAGATAATAAACATCTACATAACCTTTGAACAGAGCTGAATATGTTTGTTTTTTCATGTTTGTTTAAAGAGGGTCATGAATTATATTGATTTGATTTCAAAAAGCCTTGCTTCACTGTCTGCAAAGTAAACATAATATTATGTCACTGTCAGTTCAGTGTATTAGGACTGTGTTGACTCTTCATTTTAGTTACCGACAGTATGACACATCATTTCACACTCTGAATTATAAAAAAAATAAAATAAAATCTTTTTGTTGTCGCTTGTGATCCCTGACATTAATAACTGGAAAACACAAAACTGACGACAGTCCCTGAAGGCAGCATAAATGTGGCCCGGGTTAAATAAGCAAGTCACGTGACAGCAGAGCCGCTGTGTGATTGGCTCTGCGCTTTCACGTGCCACCACTGCAGGTTTGTGATTGGCTCGTTCCCGCCCATGTCCCGCTTTTCCCGCAACAAACAAGTGCGCGAGTCCGCGGGAGTACGACACAGCGTAGCACTGCACTTTTAGCAGCCAAAATGCCGAAACGCGCTTGTCCTTTTCCGGAAACCTTCTCCTCCCAATACAAAATACACATTGGGCAACAGGAGTTGAGCAACTACGGCGTGTTTGGGAGCAAATACAGGCAAGAAATCCACGGTGAGTTCGTGTTTGTTGAAGCTGCGTTGCTCTGTTAGCTAATGCTAGCTCCGTCGGTGCTCATGTTTGCATTGATGACAACAAATATGTCCTCCTTTTCCTTTAAAAAATCACATCTTGATCACATTTGGAGCACTTGAATAGTTCAGCTATACGATTTTGAATGTGTTCTCACTTGTTTGGCCTCTTTACTGCTACATCTGTTGGTTGTCGTGGCTGCTGGACAAGATGTTCTTGGTCTGTTTTCCTGTGCAGTCGATGTTAATCCTGAACCACCGCGACTCACATGTCTGTTCACTCACGAGTGGGTCTTGTTTTGTCACAGAAAAGACAAAGAATTTGCTTTTCAACGGTGCCAAGGCCGTGATGGGCAAAATATGGACTGGAGAGGAGAAGTGCACGGACCCCCGACCCACTGGACCGGCCCAGACATCTGCAGGCAGCCAAGCTCTGCTGAGAGGACAGACACAGATTGGACATGATGGGAGACTGACAAGAGCCAGTGCTGCACAAGGTGAGCCTGAACTGAGGCAGGTCACAGACAGGATGGTTAGTCAGGGCCACAGGTTTTATGGCAGTGACACACTTCTTGTAATGTTGTCTCTGCACACCATCACAAAGGAAGTGCCATCCTGTCTGTCACATTTTAGATTTCATCCTGCTACTACAATCAGCAGTCACATCACTGACAGCCTCGCAAGTACCTCATTAACAGTATGTCATGGGTAGGGGGGGACGCTCTGGCTTGCCTGTATTTCTTTAAACCAATAACAATGGTCTTGGGTGGAGCTAAGCAAAGGATTTCAGCGTCCCTTAAAAATAGTAACAGGGTGGAACATGTGCATGCAGTGAAGCGAGTCCTGACTGTCGTTAAAATGACAAATTACTGAAGAAAAAGTAGCCGGGCTGCCTTATTGCAGGCTCCAAAACTTGGAATTTTCACTCTGGTAAGTTGCTAGCCTGGATATTTTTTGTTGTTTTCTGCAATGAAGAGAATTTTAAACATGTTCAAATAGCAGAAGGCGAGAAGAAAGCCGCGTGACTTGCACAGCCAATTTCAGGTCTATACTCAAAATCTACTTCTGGTGAGTCAGACTGCACCACTAATAAACACCAGTGCACCAGTTCTACTGGCAGCCATACATGTTCACGCCATAACAACACTTCCACCATGTTTGACGGATGTTGTGGTCTGCTTTGTATCATGAGTTCTTCCTTTCTTTATCCACACTCCCGTCAGAGTCATCTGCGTTTCATCTGTCCAGAGAGTCTTGTTTCAGAACTGCACAAGGTTTAAGAGGTTTTCTCGCCAACCTGACCTCTCTGTTCTTGAGCGTTACCAGTGGTTTTTACCTTGAAGTTAACCTCTATAATGAGGACATGTCTTGATTTCGACAATAATTCGTTTACCTCTGCAGGAGTGGTCTTGGCTTGACCGCATGCGGTAGGAGCTTTTCTTCACTTTGGGATGATTTCTGCTGTATCACACTTAAGTAATGCGCTGCTGACTTGTTTGTCGGAAAACCCAGACCACCATTTTGTCCTGCAGTGAAACAAGTATGTATCTCATACTGCCCATAGAAACTCTAGTTCCAGGGCACCAAAATATCTGTGCAAGCTTAATCTTTTTCCTTAGAACCTATTTAAAATTGCTAAGATATGCAGTTTGGCATCGAAAAAAGTGACAAAATCTCAAACCTTGAGATATTTAAAGAAAATATTACATGTCTAAGGTTTTTCAGGCCTTTTTGTGTAGCTGCGCTCGTCAGTACATTCCATCCTTTTGAAGATTTCACCAAACTGTTGAGTTGGCCACTCTTAAAGGTTCAACTCTGTCTCCAATATGTCTCTTTTGTGTTTCAACTTAATGATGGCATATTGAGAGTTCCCAAATGAGAAAAGAAAAGAAGAACAGAAGAACCAATAAAGACTGCAGTCTGAGGAAGAGCATTTTGCTCGAACCGTCACGCCAATAAATTGTAAAAGGGAGCTTGTTTGGTGTGCGGATCGTTCTTCTGTTTTTCTTTTCTTTTCTCATTTATGACATTTTGTGATCCAGCACCCAACCCAGTGGGCCTCGGGGATGTGCGTGTCTTTCCTTCATCAGACATGTTGAGATCCCCCCCCCATGAACAGCCACTACATACAAATTTGACACTTGAAACTTTAAAAACTTCTTAATAAGTCATGAAAGAAGGAGGAAACAGACCACACCTGGCTGTCAAACTGCTTATCAATCAACTGTCCAAATACTTGCCTGTAACAAATGGACGGACTCTGTAAAAAATGTTCATGTTCATGGTTAATGAAATCCTGACTGCTTCATTTCAAATCCATTATGGTGCTATGCAGCGGTAAAATTACAGAAGTTGTAGCGCTTTCCAGTAACCTATGGACCTGACCATGTACATGTTAATACACTGAGCTCGACACCAACAATCCATTCAGATGCATCAAATGAAAGGAATTGACCATATTTGTAAACCACCAGCTTCCACTGGTCTTCAACAATCAACTCAAGATGGCAGCCAGCCGATCATTCAGCCCTGTGTTTACTACAAGTAGCTGTGTGTGTTCTGAAGGTCTGGAGGTGCAGCTGCTGCCCATAACCCCCCATACACGCTGAGTGAGGTCCAAAGTCTATGATAAGATAGTCAGCAGTTACTGCAATAAGAAAAAAATACAAAGATTGGTGCTAAAAGAATACACAACATGTGAACAGTGACATCTGGTGAGGAGTCAGAGCAGTGAAGTGGCTGATGCTTGGACTGAGCTGGGTCAACAAGAGCATGCCAACACAACCTTTACTGTTAAATTCCAAAGGATAGCAGGAATTATTAAAACTATGGACACAAACTTTGGTCACATGTACATCATGTGCTTTATAAATAATGAGACTGACCTTGTGTCTTGCATGTCTGAACCAGGTCGTCTACATTCATCAATAAACAGCCCGTGAACGATTCAAGCTACTTAAATGAAATTAAATTACGGTATTAGTCGCAGCTCATATATCTTAAATTGCACCCTTTGCGATTTGCTAAATGCATTGTTTCAAACTTTGATTTTAAATCCATTATTTTGTTCAGTCCTGCCTGAGACACACGCTGAACCTCTCTGATAGATCGACCAATAATAAAGCTGCAGTCAGGGCTCTTTGAACTTATAACAAAAATAGGTTTTCTTCAATCATGTAAAGTTTGTACTTCCCCTCAAACAACTGTCAGAATACAAGTCTCAGTTTTAAACTTTGAGAGTGAAGTTTTGTTGTAATCCAGAATAGAGGAGCAGGTTAATCATAAACGCACCCAAAACTTTAATAAAACTTATCCAGGACAAAGTGTTTGTCTGACCTACTTCATGTAAATTGTGTTTTGCTTGCCAAAGTGCTTATAAAGGAGGGATTTCCTTCTAAGAAGACTAATTGAGTATTATTGTAAGACTTGAGAAAATATGAACTGACCACCCACATGCTCATACATCCACCTTTTCACTTGACATTTCCGTGACATTCTGGCAAACGTGTATCTCTTTAAAATTCCTTTAAACAATTCGCTGGCACACATGGGTACTGAGGAATGAAAATCACCTTTTTTTTTTTTAGCCAACTGAGCTAAAGATCATTTCTCGGTTGAAAGAAGTTACTTTGCTCGAGGCCAAAAGCAGATGGTTTCGTCAATTAATCAGACTTTAGTTGTGTGGCGCTTTTAATGCAAGTAGAACGTAACAAAGTGCTCTCCAGAAGACAAGGACACCAAGAATACATAAAAGCCGCAACCCTCACCCTACCTACCCCCGCCGTAAAACATTATATTATAAAAGAGGGACTCAGTGATGAGAGGAGCTGAGGAAATGCTGTCATATGTAATGGTAGCAGATGGTTCATGCAGTTCCTACTTTCTACCAGCAGATGTCAGGGTTGTTGCAGGTTTGAATACTTAGTTTGGTTGCTTTTCTTTTTTTAAACTTGGGTTTCTAACTATTTGATCCATTGCATTGTATGGATGTGTAGGTCTTCTAGGTGCAGCAGTGGCGCCCACAGGCTGCTGCGTGTGTCACAGGAGTCAGGGCTCCAGGACATCGTGCTCCCAGTGCGACCGTCAGGCCTGTTCCTCCTGCACCCGGCAGTGCTCCAGCTGCTCCAGCCTCTGCTGCTCTGTCTGCACCATCATAGAGTAAGTCACATTCTTGATATGCGCCTCACTCACTCACTCCTCTCAGGGGGTTGTATCTATAGCAATGTTATTTTACTCTTAAATTACTTCACATAAAAGGTAACACTCCTATAGATAGCACTTTTAATACCTTTAAACTGATGTGTGTACATTACCCGTCTAATCTATATTCTAAAAACTAGTCATGTCTGCAAAGCATCCCCGCCTCCTGCACCTACGTTTGTCTAGTGAGTCATTAAAATTCATGCAGATAAGCTCTTAGTAGACCTGAAAATATTGGCCTTAAAAACACTTGAGTGCATCCATAGCGGGACTCCAGCAGCAGCAGCAGCATTTTTTTTTTTCCTCCCTTTTTTTGTTCTTTAGTCGTCTCAGCTTCAAAGTATCATTAGATCCTGAGCCTAAACTGAGAAACCATGCATGCTGAGGTTAATTAGGTGTCAGTTAGAAAAGCACTTGCTTTGGCATTAAAGACGTGCTTATACGAGGTGTGGGGTGCAAGCTGTTTCTCCTCCAGTGCTGCTGCTGGTACACGAGTACGCTCTGAAGCGCAGACGTACCTGCAGTTCTCCATCAACGTCACAAGATCCAAAAACAGGCCGGTAGATTTCTTGTATTTCCAATAAAAAGACTTTAGACACTTAAATTATGTCATTTGGATTGAGATTAACTTTATATAACTGTTTGTAAAGACATTAGAATCGTTGCTTAACATCAAGTGTTTGAAGCAAAAACACCTGAAGTAACACAACCAAATGAAAATGACTGCAGCTTCTGATCCACACTATGCATGAATGAGAGAGAAGAAAACCTCCACAAGTTTTTTTTCTTTTTCTTTTGAGGTGGCAGAAGTCAGACACAGCAATACAGAAACAGAGCAGCTTTGAAATCATTTACAATTTCATCTAGAAGACGCTTTTATCCAAACCGACGTACATCTGAATGTAGCTCACATTCATACACCGATGGTGACAGAGCTGCCATGCAAGCTGCTGCCTGCCATTGGGAGCAACTTCAGGTTCAGTGTCTTGCCCAAGGACACTTCAACTGTGGAGGGGCGGAGGGATCGAACCACCAACTTTACTATTAGAGGACAACCTGCTGTACCGCCTGAGCCACAGCCGCCCAAATCAAACGTTTTTCTCAACCTAAAATAAAAAACCATTCAGTAGAAATGACATATTTAATCCTTTAACTTTCATGCTGCAACACCTGATTCACAGCCGTCATCCTGACTTTGGACGGTGTGATTAGGCTGCTCCTGAACTAGTAAGAGCTCAACAACAAGTAAGGCATTTTTTAAAAGACGATGCAGTTTTTATGATAACTCCCGAGTCCTCTGAAATATGTTTAGTGATGTAGTGAGCAAATGAAAAGAGAGGAAACCCTAGATGCAGGCATCCTTTGACGTTTATGGAGTTAAAATATAAAACAGCAGCAGATGAATGATCCTTTTTTTTAAGTCATTACATGTTTTGCATCAGTGCAGCATGCTGTAGCTGAAGAAGTACCGCAGGCTGACTGTTATTTGTGACGTTGCTGGTTTATTCCCCTGCATCGCTTTGTCAATATACCAAACTGCTTTACGTGATTGATTTGTGGAAAGATTGCAGTTTTTTCTTACAGATATTACAGATATTTTTTTTTAAGTCAACCTTCACTTGAATATTCACGGTGTAATCGATTTCAAACACTTGACGGCGCATTAGCACATGAGATACCATCAGCAGTGTGACTGCCTCGTGGGTCACATGTGCTGCCCAACGTGTATATGCTAAACTTTATAAGCTGCCGATCGCGACGTTTCAGATTTTGAAATCGATTAATCGCTCAGCCCTGTTAAGTAGCCTAAAGCAAAAATACTAAACTCACTGTGGGTCAACAGTTGGGTCACTTTGGACAATAAAAGTGAGCCGAATGCCTCTCAGTGTGTCACAGCTTCTGCATAGTTAACACCATGAACATTTTCTTTGTTCCACAGCTACAGCGGGCGATACGATGAAGTTCTGTGCTGCGGTTGCTCGACGTAAAGGACGGATCAGGAGTTTATGTCTGAACTAAAGTTGCCTCACATGAGATATTACCACGACTGCATTTTAAACCTGCCATGTTGTTGTTTTTAATGTGATCCAGATGTTTTCTTGTACATATGTATTTTCAAAAACTAACTGAAATAAACTTGAACCCTTTTGTATACAGTTTTGGTGTATTTTTTTTAAATTTAGTATTGCATAACAAAAGAACAACAGGTAAAAATTAAAAGTGCCACAGATGCATAAATCAGCAGGTGGCAGCACACATCAAGCGCTCGGTTGAAGGATGAGCTCCTCTCAGACCGGGCATGTTTGCCGCTTCCTCAGCTGGTGGGGGAGAACAAATTTATCTCACTATGCTAAAGAGGCAGAGTTTCAACCTTTTAGTCAAAGTGTGCGAGTTTTGTCTCGGCTCGGCAATGATAATGAAATTCCAGTCGAGCCTCGTCTGCGGCTGACCTTGAGAATATGCTATCAAATTTATTTATTAAAACAAGAAGACCCAGAGGTTGAACAGAACCAGACCTTTTGCAGCAGACAATTTGGCTACAATTATCCCAGCGGGACGCGACCTTGAGGGTGTAGTCATCACTTTCTCTTGGCTGCTGCTTGTCACTAATGATGACTGGTTTCAGGGTCAGGTATTGTACACTGTGAGTAATTGTTCTTGGTGGCAGAAGTCAAGTCATGTGACGCCGTGTTATAGATATTAGCTTGGATGAGCCGCGCTTCCAGGAGATTATTGCAAATGTGCCTATGAGGGGTTGAGTCACATCCAGTTGTGGCTCCGGTCTTCTGGTGGGGGGGTTAGAGCGCCTGCAGTTGGTGTCCGAGGGCTCCCCGCTTGATTTCAGGCGAGCAGACAGCTGCTGGCAAAAGCGAGGCGTCAAGTTGTCTGCACGTTTCTTGATAAGGCTTTAAGGAAGTCGGGGATGGACGTAAAGCACTTGAAAGAGAGACGTTTCTTTTTGAAGCTGTATTGTTTTCGCTGAAGGTTAAGCGAGTCATTGATTCGAGGCGGGAACGTGTGAAGCTGGTGGATGCGGTTCGACTAGAGTAAAAAAAAATGACAAGGCTGAAACAATTAGTTGGGAGAAAAATGTCAAGTATGCGTCTGTTAAATTGAGTCATCCAGTGAGGTGGGGGGAACAAAAATCCAAGATATTTCCCATGTCCTGCTTCTATGATGGAAGAATTTGCAGATTTTCTGTTTTATAGCAACTCTTTGGAGTTTCATTTTAATTATTTAGCTTATTTTTTTGGAGACAAACCCAAAATGTTGCTTACAGAGGATGCTACCACCTCCCCGTCACACCTACATGATGATGTGACGACTTTATGCGCCTTCAAAACAAGAGAGTGCAGCTGTCAAGGTTGTCGGCCCCATCCGTTAAAGGACAAAAAAAAAAAAGGTCACGGTGTGCTCAAGAATGCTCCTCATCTATTCCTTGGTTTGCGTGTAAGGCCGGGGTGTGGGTACGAGGAGGTGAAAAAAAGAGGGGGGTAGAGCCACATAAACACCCACAGCGCTCCAGACAGGACCAACTGCAGTCGGCCAGCGGGAGCACGTGGCTTTGTCTTTCACCCATTCTTTTGGGGACCAGCTGTGGTCTGAGCGTGGCGAGCGTCAGGCCCAGTGATGCTGCTGCTATAAATATGCGTCAACGAGTGTGAGTAAGTGACAGCTGTACAGTGGACCAAGGACACACTGTCTTGGCACTGTCAGGGCGAGCCAGTCCAAAAAAGGCAAACCCAGTGTGAGAGCACTAGTTGATATGTATTTATGCACTTGTGGCGATTCGGATTTAAGGTTGTGAACTTCGGTGAAATTCAGCACAAACGTCAGACTATTATATTTACAAATGTTGGTTCGATTAAGACGTATCCCCGAGAAGTGTGAATTAGATTCTCTGAAAGTCAAACGAACGGCTCCTCCGCAAATAAGTGGATGATAACAATATGCATGTGTGTTAATACGGAGAGAGGAAGGAAAAACTACCCATGCATGCGTGTGTGTGTGTGCGCGCTCACTCGCATTGTCTGGTACACAAGCGCATGTGCGACTGTGTTTGTGTGCCCTTTTCAAGTGTGACCACCTGTCTTTTGTTAAGAAATAAATAAATAAACACGGGCCACACCAGCTGTCCCTGGCAGTCCGTCCCTTCAGAGGTCAAGGGCTCCCACCGCTGGCCTTGTTGAGGTGGTGGACACTTGCAACTTTCCTCAACTTCTCTCAAGTACCTCTAAACACACACACAAAAACACACACACACACACGCCAAAGCGCTGGCGAGCCAAATGAGCCCCGGCTTTGAGCCTTCGGAGAGGAATGTTTTATTACACCATCGAGTTACACTGCACATATCCCAGCTCGTCACCCTGCGAGCTAAGCCCTATCACATGGCCCCTACTTTCCATGTGAAGCTTTTTGGTCCAGAAGTAAGAAACACACACACACACACACACACACACATACGGCAGGCCAGTTGAAGCCCTGGATCCCGTTAGGCAGATGTGAGATGTGGGTGCCAGCGAGTGCGCCGAGGCCTGCCGCCGTGGATGTTTACAGTGCGAGGTGGCCGCGGCGTTGCAGAGGGCCCTTATTTACTGTGAGCTGGCCGGGGCTGTTCGGGGTGTTTATGAATGATCTTGGGAGGACATTGTTTTCTTTATGTCGGAGCTGCCTGGCTAGCGCCGCTGTGTCGTCTGTTTGTGCATAAAGTACGTGCTGGGGAGCTGGGCCAGACAATAGCCTGGCTGAGCTACTACCCACGCACACAATAGAGCGGTGGGATGAGGCCGAGGTTTGGGGCCGTGGTTTTGGGGACTGTGGGGGTGGAGGTAGGATAGATGGGGGGGCAGGGGCAGTTGGATGCGGCCCTTGTCTATATGGCGTTCCCAGAATGGGTGAGCTGGGATTTGGGGGAGGGTGGTGGGAACCCGGGCACATCCCTATTGGGATCACGTAGCAAAGCAGCTGGATTTCTTTCATGGTGCAGCAGGGAAATAATTAAAAGTTCTCGCCATTGAAACTGTCCAGTGAATTGGCATGAAGTTCCTCAATTAGACACACATTTGGAATGCGTTTGTTTACATACAAATAGATGTGTGTGTGTGTGGTTTAGTTTGCCGAAGCAGATATGATTGAGTTTTAAGTAATAATTACACGACGGGCTTTGTTACGTCGGGGTTTATCTCCTTTTTGGAGAGTATTGGCAACAGGTCAGGAACAATGGGAGCCCATCTTGAAATTGTTTCGTCCTTGAGCTCAGTTTATGGTTTCAGAGGGATCGGGCCTGTAAGACCAGCAGTATTATCACATTCTGTTGTCTCTGTACACAGTGCAGCGCTGCCCACACATGCTGTCTGCCTGGCTGCTGCTGCTGCTGCTATGTGTCACACAAGGACTCCTCAGTAGCATTCTTAGGTTGTTAAGAGCAGCCAAGCTTTATTTCATTATTAAATTCTCATCTTTTGCTGATAATTAACTGCTGTGAAAGTGGTGTGTCGGTGCAAAAACAACGAAACAAAACAGGGGAGGTGAGGGTGTTGGAAATGAACGAACTCCACACAATGAAAGTTGTTCCATTTAATTCTATGTATAATCTTAATAAAGACCTAAATCAAGATTGTCACATTTCCACAGCACACGCACACAAGCACACTCGGAAAGCGCAAACAAAGAAAAATGCACATACAGTTATAGATCAAAGTAAATTGCCTCAATATCTAAGCAATGTCAAATTCTGCATAAAGATTGTCCTCTAATCTCTACACCACTAACACTGAAGCAATTGATTACTATAAAATATACCTTTCTTATTAAAAAATTATATTAAATTCTAATGGCACTTCTACAAATTCTATTAAAAAGATTTTTCATTTGACATTTAGAAGCTTTTTTTTCCTTTTTTTTTTCTCTTTTTTCTTTTGAAACCAAATTAAAACCGAGACAGTCAAATGTTACACAAGAAGCATATGCAATAATAAATATTTCTCATGATTATACACAATTTCACAGTTGTAACCTGCAGAGGACAAAAAAAAAAATTCCAGTATCAGTCTTGTTTTTTTTTTTTTTTGACTTCAAAGATCATACAGCATTAGTTAGGCAAACATAGCCCTCGATCAAGAGTAGCACTGTTTCAAGTCAACAATCAAAATCTCAGTGTTTCACATTCAACAGTGACATTAAAAAAAAAAGAAAAAAGAAGGAACGGATTGTTAGTTCCCAGTAGTATTGGCTGATAAAAGCCAAAACACACACCAAAAAAAAATGCTTGACTTCAGTTTAACACGTCCAGAACAAATTTATTCACATAAATTTCAAATCTCTCGCAAAGCAGCGCTAATAAATGGACTTTTAATCTTTAAGTTTTAATTAACATTTTTAATATGACTTTTTAAAAAAAAAAAAAGAAAAACAGGAACAACAGTTGTGAATGGTCAGCGGGCCACTGTTGCTGTGATGTGAACTTCACCACCGCAGTCGAGGGCAAAAAACGTACAATATAGAAAAAGGGCTTCTCCAGATGCAACACCTATCCGTGTGTCTACAAGGCACATTTGGTGATCATCCTGGAGGTATAAATAAAGACTGCAAACAATAAGAAGAGAATTCTTTACACGTCGTTAGTTCGTCTACCTCTGTACACATGTACATTAGAGAATCGAGCAAATTTTTAACTTGCACCACATAAAAATGTTCCTTTAATTTAAAAAAAAAAAAAAAAACTACATTCCTGTGTGTTCTGATTGAAATATACATCATCAGCACTACGCGACATCTACGTATCTGTAATAGATCTACCGTTCTGACTGGAGTGACCTAACTGGCAGGGCGAGTGAGCAACAGGAGTGTTTCTCCTTCATTCGAGCCCCAGTGCTGACTTCAGGTCAGGGAGTTAAACAGATTGCAGTCATTCCTTCTTGACTTTTCCAGAAACACAAAAAAAAAACTGCTGAAAACCCTTCTGAGAAATTACATGTGAATTCACTTGTTTTCCTGAAAGAAGTCCAAAGAAAACCACCTCGGGGTGTCGAAAGCTGAAATGGACTCTTGATCAGCACCTTAGAGCTGACCTCAATCACCGCAGACGCATTGTCGTCAATCCCAACAATATTTCCAAATCTGGCACTTGAAGCGCGACACTCTAATAATTCATAGTCATGTCTCCTGCATGTAGAGGAACAATGAAGCATTTATTTACTGCACGCTGGGATGGAAGGTGGTGGAAGGGGAGGGAGGGAGGGGGGAGGTTGTTCTTTGATGCCTCCAAACAATACACCTGTTTACAGTCTCCTTGGTCTCCCTTTGCTAAATACATTTCTCACATTCCAATGGCTCCATTCAATACAGAAAAAAAAAGTGCAAAGAGACACTTGAACTGCCTTTTCTCCCCACAGCTAGGAGAGAGATACACAATGATCCCTTGAGAACTACCTGGGACTTGGTTGTGGAGGGGGGGGCGAACAATGCCTGTATTGTCTGGTTTCTATAGGTAGCCGGTGCCATATCGGTGTGGCTGTGCTTGTGAACAACTGTTTCCTCTGGCAGAACAGCAGTCGGAGCAGCATTAAGCGCTCTGATTTGTAGTGAGGCGGAGTCCAATAAAGTCTTTGAATATGGAAGAGGAACCAAACTCCCTGGGGAAGACATGACACTAAGAGACTGCAGACTTAATAAGACACCTGACTCTGTCGACCTTACGTGTGTTGTAACATGGAAAAAAACAAAACAAAAAAAATTGATAAATATAGTATATATTTACATTAAATATACAAATAGTAAGAAATAGCAGCCTAGACAATAGTGTTGAAACTATATGCATGCTAAAAACAAGTGCTTCTCTATGTTCCATGTGACAAATCTTGAACACTCCGCAGAGATTTCTACACAATATATTAAAATACAATTACAGTAACTCGATTTGCACAGAGAAAAAAAAATGGACAGCCCCAATACCAGTTAATGAGTACCAAGATCGCTAGGCAAGACGGCCACGTCTCTCAAGCTCATAGAAATAAGAACTACACCTACGGTAAACCCTGAACCAAGTCAAACTAATAAATAAATTCTGATCAAGTCTTCTCAGGACAGATTAGACAAATATCATGAACTTTTTAGTGCTACAACCCCTCTGGTAAGAATCCATATAGCATCTACGTGAACAGACAGAAAGAGATCCATTTTACTGCCCAGAGACTCCCCTCGAGGGCAGCGTCACCAAAAAGGCTTCATCAGTAGTAGTAACTTAGACACATACAGTCATGGATTAATTTCAAAGAAAGAAAAGTCAGTAGATTCAGCCGAACGGCACAGCTTTGATGGACAAACAGTGCTAAACAACAGACAAAACATCCACCTGTCTCCTTCTCGCCTCCTCTCTGCCTGCTGAGGTTTTTCGTCCTAAACACCGGCTCGGTGTGCCCTTTGTGCCATACCAGGGAATAACAAGGTAATTTGCTGGACTCTACTCGCTTGACAAGTCAATAAACATTTCATTGACAAGAGCTGGATCTACATATTTTTTAGAACATTCTTGTAAATTATCTAATTAAAAAAAAAAAAAGGACACTGGTGGTTCAGTTGGCATTTCAGAGCAGACCTTAGTCACTACCTGGTACGTGGAGTGGAATCCAGATTTTTTTTTTTTTTGAAAAGGCCTAAAAATAAAAGTCACTGATTTTGACAAAAAAAAAAGAAAAGGCATGGCGTTACATCTCATTCTAGTTTTAGTAAGTACACTAGGTGAAGTGTTAAGAATTTCAGTAGGCACCAGTGTTACAGGCATTAGCTTTGAACTACTCTCCATCCCTCTTCTGATTACACGACGTCTTTTTAAGTCGCAATTAGAAGGCCAATCCATCAATATGTGCTCACTCACATTAGCAACTAAAGAGCTGGTAACTCAACCCAAGACGAAAAAAGAATAAAGTAACATGGTGATATGATGGTCTGCTTGCTTCTTGTTACAAAACAACACAAAAACTTCATTTCAACCAAATAAAAACTCTACTTCCATAAACAAAAATCATACTTCCAGTAGTCAGACTTCATTAGTTTTGCTGCCTTATGATAGTTTACTTGTTAAGGACTAAAATCCCCCAAAAATAAATAATAATAATAATAATAATAACAATAATAATAATAATGTAGGTGTTAAAAAAAAAATCATATATTGCTACTCACGGACGGTTCTGATCTCCCATGTGCACAAATAAAGTCTCTCTGACGATTGTATTAACGTATGTTAGCATTAGCTATCGCCCATTTGCTCATAGGGTACGAACACAGGAGGCTTTTCCTTTCAGCAAATACACTCCTCAAATAAACTCGACAGACCGACACAAACAAGACAGAAACAAACAAGTGCATCATCTGATTTGTTCACCTTTGTCGACACACATCCAGCTTTTGAGTTTCACAGCACCCAGTTTTTTATCTTAACAGCCTGTGCACCTCAAACCGACCGCCTCTGACCGTCACGTATGCCCACGACACGGTCCGGCACAGAAAACAGCTCCAGTTTAAAGTTGCTACATCTTTAACTTGAGAAATGCCACATGGGGTAGAATCCAAAAAGATATGTTTCCAACAAACTGCCGACATGTGTGTGTACTAATGGGAAAATTGTTCAGTAGTAGTATTCAGTGTATGAAAAGACACTCTGTCTTATGTCATGGCACTGGTGAGAGGTGTTTTATCCAATGGCGAGAGTCTTGACAAGGCCACAGTGAAACTTCCTGATGTGGCGGTAGAGGTCCCCAGACTGAGTGAAACGCCGCTCGCACCACTTACAAGCGTGAGGCTTCTCACGCGTGTGAACTACAGCGTGCCGACTCAAGTTATGGGAGTACTGGAAGCTCTTGCCACACTGGCCACAGGTATATGGCTTCTCGCCAGAGTGTGTGCGCTCGTGGCGCTTGAGAGTGTACATGCAAGAGAAGGTCTTGTTGCACTGCATGCAGGTGGGGACCGAGCCGTCGGGGGACAGCTTGGACCGGGCGCCGTCCTTCTCGCGGAAGTGTGAGCTGAGGTGCAGTTGCAGCACATGGGGGCTGGGGAAGACTTTACTGCAGAGGGGACACACACACACCTGTTGCCCCGGGGGCAGGAGCACCCCACTGGAGGTGGAGATGTCTGAGGAGGCCAGGTCGTCCTCCTCCTCCTCCTCACTGTCCCCCAGCAGTCTACCCCTCCCATCCACCTCCCTGCCTGGGGCGCCCTCCCTCCCCCTGCAGGCCTCCCCCTCCTCGTCCATCAGGTCCTCCTCCTGGGAGAGCAGGGCGGCTGTGGAGCCGTTGTTGCCTGGGAAGAGGGCAGCGAACCCTGTCACCACTGAGCTCCTGGCACTATTCCCAAAGCGCTGGCTCTCAGGGCTCATCGGCTCACTGTCCTCCTGCTCTGACAGCAAGTCGTGTTCGTCTTTAACAAGTGGCTCAGTGCCCTGCTGCTGGCTGTCGAGGGCCAGCTGTCCCGAGACGTAGGAGGGGTGTAAGGGATCTCTGCTAGACAGAGGCTTGAAAGACAAATCCAGTGCACAGTCCATGTCATCTGAAGCCCGGGACCTCTGGGACAGCAATACGGTGGAACTACTGACATCAGCTTTTGTTTTTCCAGCTGTTTGGACGCAGGGCTCGGCCTCTGCTGACACATAATTGACACCTACAAGGTCCGGGGACCTGCCAGAGTGACCGTTTGCCTTCTGCCTGCTCTGTGTAGACCTATCACAATCTGTGACAGCCAGCCTGACTTCACTGTTGTCCATGTCAAACTCTTCTGCTGGGGGGGCCCTGTGAAGCCCCTGAGACAGTGTCTGGGGCTGTCGCCGAATGAGCTGCTTACTGTGCAGCTCGCCATCTGAGGAATTTTCCCTGTCCAGACAGCTGAGTCCCAGACCCTCTCCCATCTTTTCATCCAGAGAGCAAAGTTCCTTATCTTTCAGCTTGCCTTTGCACACTTTCACTATATCATACATGTGGAGGTAACTGGCTGCTGCCAGGACATCCTCCACTGGCAGAGTGCTGAATTCCAACTTCCCCTCATACATAAATTCAAGGAGCAGACTGAAAGCCGGGGCTGTCACAATGTCACTGTTGAGATGCACAACGTCCCTTTTGTCTAGCTGGTCCCTGTAGAAGAGATGGAAGTACATGCTGCAGGAGGCCAGCACGGCTCTGTGCGCTTTGAATCGAGCCTCCCCGACAAGAACAGTGCAGTCACAGAGGAAACCTTGGTGACGCTGCTGACTCAGACACTGCAGCAACTGGCGGCTATGGTCTGGGAACTCCATTCTTCCTTCATAACCTGATGAAAAACAGGAAAAACAGGATACTGGATAAACGAAATGAAGCCATTTAGAGGGCACAGCGGAGCAGGCGTCGCAGATCAGAGACAAACACCAAGTGTCCAAAAGCAGAGAAAATGTGAGCAGTAACTTGTGCCAAATGGTTTAAAAGTGTCAGAAAACACACAAGAGCTTCAAGCAGATCATAAAATCATTTAGACTACCTGCATTTAATCCGGAAAGATCACACATTTAGCTACATCTCCAACTTTCTCCAACTTGAGAACACAAATTCTACATTCTTTCCAGTGGTGCAGGACACGCTACGCTGCGCTCACCCACCCATGTATCACGGTGCGAACGGAGCCGCTCTCCAGATTATCCAAAGTATTCCGGTTTGTGGTCGGACTTCTTGCGCGTCCGGGAGAAAAAAAAAACAGACGAAGAAAAAAAAAGAACGAAAATAAGTGACGCACCGGTGTTTCTTTTTTTATTTTTTTTTCTTTCCCCCGAACGCACACAAAGCAGCGGTGTTTACAGGACAAGCAAGCGGCTGTGGGAACGGGAGCACTCGTCCATCGAGGGGAAGGAGGCTAACGTGAAAAAAATAAGACCAGTGCAGAGTGAGTAAACTGGTGCTCTGTTTGCTAATTACACTGCAAGCTGTGGAGTCAGCTGCTCTGACATCACCGCAATGGAAACGCTACCTCCAGCTGTGCTCCCCTTTATGCCATATGTTAACTCTGGGCTACGCAGTCCAAAAAAGACACACAACTTAAAGGAAAACCTGTGTATTTATAGGTGTCGCATGGATTACGCGGCGTTTCCAACTTTTCTTTCTTTCTTTTTTTTTTTTTTTTAATCGGGCAAATTATCTCACACACAACCGTGGATGACAATAAATCGCTTTGTGGCTCCTTTTGCGCACCGATCGGACACTCGCGCACAACTGGGGAAATGTGTTTCAAGAGGTTGATTCAAATTAGAATTAAAAAAAACAGATGTTAAGTTTGACAAAAAAACCTGAAGTGGATTGGATGTTAAAGTTTGATGCTAATGAGAGAAGAAGAAGAAGAAGAAGAAGAAGAAGTGTAATTTTACGCGCAGAGGTTTTTGGTGTTTTTTTACGCAGAAGAAGAAAAGTGTAGGAAGGAGACAGGAGGGCCAAGGGCGCAGTAAACCGAGCTCCATGTCCGTGTTGGGAAACGCATTGCTGGGAGCCTTTTAAACTGCAGAGGAACTCACAGCAAAAGCCAACTGCGCTGAACGAAGCGGCGAAGAGGGGGGACACACTTTTAACTTTCTCCGTTCCGACGCGCAAAAAAAAAACCCACAAAAAACTAAACGCTGCACTCACATGTATTCCCGCCCGCTTCGTCGTCCTTTATCTCCTATGAGCCCCGATGTCCTTTCATGATGTGCGGCCAGATGTTCGCTTCTCCTTGTCGTTTCTTGAGCTTCAGTCCGACCCTGGTAAGGCAGGCTGCACTCAGCGCTGCTGTGTGTCAAGCAGGTTGATAATGGCCCAAGTCTCGCGATATCACCGCGGCCACAATAAGTTCTGTACTACTCCGCGAATTCACACAGCGGCAGCAAGTAGCAGAGCACACTGGGGACATCAATTGGCTGCCTTATTAAAACACCTGTCTCACGAACAGGGGGGGCTTTCAGGGTGACAAATCCCTCCAGTGTGGCAAAGTGAAAGAAAAAGTAGACGAGTGGAGCAAATGCACATGACTAGTTTTACTCCCAAAAAGTGTTTCCCTCCTCAAATAGGGCTACAAGGAAGAAGGAAAGTGTATTTATGTACACTGTAAAGCATCCTAATGGAGTTTAGTTCAATCAACTTGTTTTTTTCTTGTTTAAATAATGTACATTTATTAGTTTTGCTCATTTCTAGTTTTACATTTTTTACTTTTCAGACCACTTTTGAACTTAATAACACACATTAATTGTAAATTGAAGGTTCATGACTAAAAGGATGAGTTAAATGAGGTCACTCAACTTATTAAATTAGGTTTATAAGAAACAAAAGTATAAGCAGACGACATTGTTGGAGACTTTAAAACTCCCCAGATGTTTTTTTTCATAGTTTGAGAAAACAGACATGGTGGAAACTTGCTGTGTCTTTAATATAAGTTAAATTAGGTTAGGGTTGTTATTTTTCAGAATAATTAAAACAATTCTAACCATAGCAAAGGTTAGTACTAAATTCAGTCCCTACACCAATAGAGTTGTATTTTATGTCACTGTAAAAGTCAGACAGGTTGTCTTTGTTCTGACTTGGAAATAAAAAGAAAAGAAAGGTACCAACAGCTGACACTATAACAGTAAATAAAGAAAAACATCTTTATATTTAGACAAAGTTAAAGAAAAGCAAATCTGTCTGTAACCACTGTCTATGTGTCGAGTGGATTCAACTTAATATCTTGAGTTGATTGAACTGAATTTCTCAAGTTCCTCTAGTTTAACTCGACTAGTTTCACACTTTCACAGCTCATAAGAACAAATGAGTCAAATGACTTCCAAGCCAAATTAACTTAAAGTAGCACCTTATGACACACAGAGGTTATTCAGACGTGCTTCTCAAGCAAAGAAAAAACAAGATAAAATAAAAAAAAATGATCAAAAACAGTACAGAAAAGTTGGATTAAGTCCACACAAATTTTATAGACTTATTATAACTGATTGGCCAAATCAGCAGAATACGACAGAAGATCTAAAAAATAAAAAAAACAAAAGCATCATCAAATAAAACAGATTAATTAGACAGTTCAGCAGATAAAATTTGAAATTTAAATGAAGTTAAATTTGATTAACTTCCTGTGGCTTCCCGTGGATGAATGAAAGACTCCTCTTTTGTCCCGAAGACCTGATATCTGTAAAAGTATCCAAACTGATCAAAGAAGTTTAAATCATGCAGAGGGTCAGTGGTCCTCTGGGAACTTTTAAGGGCTGTTCTCTCTAATCCTGCTTTGAGTTGTGGAATTCCCTGGCACCAAACCACCCTGTGCCTTTGTTTTTCCAGACAACACCAGGTCCTGGCTGGTGAATTATTCGGCTCAAATTGTCTTAAGACAGAAATGGTGCTTATTCTTAAGGATGTTTTTCTTTTCTTTTCTTTTTGTTGTCTTTTTTTTAAATTTGTGAAACTACTTTGCGACACAATCCACCAAACACAATCCGGAGCCTGTTCTGTAATTGTTAAAGCTGGAGATGGTGGCACAGAAACAGGGGCTGGAGGTTGCAGCTGCTCATCTCGTGCCCCCCTCTCCCGCCCTCCCCGTGCTCCCCCAACTGCCTCGGTCACCTTTGCCCTGTGTTCCAGCTGTCGTGCGTTTTGAAAGGGCCATTTGCAGCTCCTCGCAGCCTTCTGACACAGAGGGGAATGAGCAATGTGACGGGAGGCGGCAGCCACTGGTCGGAAGGGGCCACCAGCTAGATTCTTATCCACTTACTGCTTTATTCCATTTTTAGTCCGGCTGTTACTGTTACAGAGGGAGGATATCTGCGCCGTGGTCATGTCCAGATGATTACAAGCAAGACGGCGTCATGCTCTCTAAATAAAATTCCCCTTGATTTGATCTAAGAGCATGGATGGACTGCGTATGAACCGGGACTCCTTTCTTATGACGGAACACCCAGCAAACTAGAAGTGTCAGATGTGTGCCACATGAAAAACAATTTACCATTCAGCGCTGATGCACACACACACACACACACACCATCCATGCAGGAGCAGCGATGTGGATAAGAATAGGAGCAGTGGCCCTGTGTTTCCCTGGCCCTGGCAAACGTAGGCGCCCAGTAGAGGAGGGGTGTGTGTTCACAGGGCAAGACAAAGCAGTGGTTGTGCCTGGGGACCGTGGCCTCAGCGGAGAGAGGCTCGGCACGGTGAAGGTTCTCACACACAGAAAAAAAAAAAAAAAAAAAGATAGAGACAGAGGGAGAGAGAGAATGAGAGTGGGAGAGTGGGGGAGCTGGGAGAGAGAGAACACTTCCTGGAGGTTCATTCTTCCTCTCTGCAATCATCAATGGCATTCTCCCCCTGACCCACTCCTCTCTCAGACAAACAAAAGACCCCGCATTCCAGTGTAGCCTGACCGGCCAACCAGCCAGCCATCCAGCCACAGTCCAACCACATCACTCTCCCCACCGGACCCAACTCTCGGCGTAGCGGTGGGTTTGAGCTGTGCTGTAGATGTCAGTTTGAGGAGTCTTGAAATGCATCTTCACTTTAAAAAAAACCCATCTTAAACCCATTTAGCATACAGCTGTCACATTTTTGTTTTCCCCTTAGGCAGCTTCAAGATCAGAAAAGTCACAATAATCCAACTTGATGTGACTACACTGTGCGTCAAAATCATATTTATATAAAGATTTTCAAACCCAGCCTTGATGTTGTGGCCATAAGTTTGTGTAAATTCACACAAAATTCATACTTATATATATTTTTAATGTCTATGAAAACATTGGAACCAACAACAAGACCAAAAACAAACATATTTAACATGTAGCTTTGACATTTAAAAAAAAAAATTTCCCTTCAGTGTCACAAAAATCGCACATTTTTCCAAAAACAGGTGCATCAGATTGAGCAAATTCTATTTCTACAGAAACATTCAAACCAAAGTCTTAATGTTGTGGCCATATTGTTATGTACAAGTACACAAAAGTCACAGAACAGAATTTGAAATACAGTTTTGTGATTTTGAACAATGTTCGGCTGCGCAGCACGAGGTTATAATGATAAACCGATATTATAGGACCGCTTTATCACAACAGCTGTACTGTTAAATTCAATAAGTACATGCCTCCACTATCCAAACATCCACTTCTGTGCTGATATTACTGCCGCACACCCCGTTTATGCAGCAGTTTTTTGGTGTAATTGGTCCACTTAGTTATATTTATCTAATCTCTATTGTCAGATAATGTGACAGTTCATGCACCATTGCTCTGCTGTTGTTGCCTGGAGATGCTGTTTTGGTCAGCTCTCCCCCTCCTCTCCTCTCCTCTTCACCTCCCTCCCTGTTATGGCCTTCCTGCCCTTCTGTGTCTAATTGTTGTTGCCGCATGTTATCTATTCGTCTTTAAGTTCTGTTCTGTGCTGTTTGCTTCTAGACAGATACTGCAAGTGGACAGGGTTCAGAGATCAGATGAGTCTTTGACAGGAAAGACATTATTAACTCACTTTGACTCTTTGATCTTGTTACTTTTGCTTTGAACCTGCAAAACAACAGGCTAGGCATTCCCATCAGCGGGCCAGAGACAGCCGAGGAGGAGGAGGAGGACGAGGACGAGGGGAGCGCCGCTGAATAACAACGGCAGAAAATGTGGGATACCCTCAGTCAGCTCTGTTTGTATGACAGGAACAGCTTGGCAAAGCTGACGCATAGTAGCAGTGAGGAACACATTACAGTGTGAGTGACAAAGAGGGGAAACGACAGCGGAGGAGGCTGAGAGACAGAGGGCACAGGCCAATGAGTTTTTCATCACAGAGGGAACGCTGGCAGCTGTCCCTGTTATCCTGTTCTGGTAACTTTACACAACCGCTGCCTTGCATTCAGATTTGATATTTATAGTTTACTGCACTTCTGTTAATTAACACTGATTGAGCTTCAGCCTGATTAACTGATCAGATATCAAGATAATCAATGCATCTACAGACAAACATCACACCGCAGTGTCACGAGTGGGTTTCAGTATTACAGAAGTGTTTTTGTGAAAGGTTCCCAGAACGTTTTCTGCGAAGGGCCTCCTACTTAGAAGCATTTTTTGATCAAGTCGACAGTCATCCGAGGGTTTCGTTTGATACAGAGGCTTCCAGACTGAGCTGGCCTGTCTGTACCTGTCCGAAACTGGTTTAACTCCTACCTCTCCAGCGGAGAGTTCTCTGTAGCTGCAGATGACGGTTTATCTATAAAAGCCTCATATAACACAGCAGGTAATAATCTGACATGACATTAAAGATCAATCTGAAGGCTTTTATGTAGCTTGCCCTTTGGCAGTTTCATCTGGCAGCATGACATCTCCATTCTCAGCTGCCCTCACTGACTTAAAATACGACATATTAAAAAAGTTTGACACCTTAAGTAGGACATGATGGACTTGCTAAAAAAGAAAAGAGTGTGGTTTGCAAAAGTATGTACCCCTGTTTACTTCATAAGAAACCTAAAGGTTATAGGTGTGACTCTGAACTTTCACTTCATAGCTGAGTTAGCATTTACCAGAAACGTTCAAGGCCCTTTCACTGCAACGAGAAAGAGAGAACGCCTATCTTTTTTAGCATCAGCAGACTCAACTACTGTGATGTTCTCTGCTCAGGTGTCTCAGAAAATAAGTCGTAAATCAAACAGCAGAAGCCTGATGCTTCATTGCTGACAAGCAGCAAAAGGAGAGCATCGCAGCCACTGTTTATAACGGTGGCCTGTTATTTTTTAATATCATTTTACTTGCCTATAAGAGTCTACATGCCTGAAAG